TAGATGAATTTACGACAGTCAAAACAGTTTGTTCTCAGACTATTTTTTTCAGTCATCACACTGAAACTAAATATCTCAAGTGTACGGTAGCTTTTTCCATTTTTCTAAGATAAAAAACTATTATCCAGGTCATTAACAGTGTAATACTCCATGAATGCCAAGAATAGACATTAACCGTTGTATATCAGACAGTCAACTTAAACATCATCAACCTCAAATTGACTAGATGATTAAACTGAATCCTAGACATGCTACATTTATGCTAAATATTAAGCCATGATTTAGTTGACAACAACGGTTTCAGCGATAATTTGTCTGACGCTTATCGCATCAGGCTGGTTGCATATCGCATCTTCTTCTCTGTGAATTTATCTTTGCAATAAAATCTAAAGGTTTGCCATAATTTATCACCAGAGTTACAGAAAAATAATTAAGATTTTCTTGAACAAATGTATGTATTTTTCTGTTGTATATATATATATATATATTAACAGTAGAAATTAAACAGTTTAATTACTTGGTGATATATTTGTAACTAAATTATATGAGGGGGGGGGCAATAATTCATTTTGTTTCAGTATTTACAGACACTTGTCATATCTACAGATAAGTCAAAATAAATAAATAGTTCGACTTCTTCAAGTATAGTCTAATCATCCTGGATTTCATACATTTGGTTCTCTTGATAAATTTCGAGATAAAGAGAAGAAGACGAAATTTGCAGTATAAAATGTGATATCATCATTCTGTTTCATGGAGGATTTCATGATGACCCAATAGAACCCAGTGGTTCAATAGTCTATGAGCTAACTCGCCTCGTAACCAGAAGGTCCTGGGTTCGAACCATGGCTGTGAGTGCATACTGATGAAGAGTCCCAAACTACGACGTAGGAAACAGTTGTCCAGTGCTACTCTAACTGATGCCAGTTCATGATGAAATCCTCCATGCAATCAAACACAAAATCCCTATAAAACCAATACCTGAAAATCAGTCTATTTTACAGGTTCTCATCAGCTGCAGACTACCTGAAACTACAATGGTTTAAGTGGTAGTAGAGAAGACATATGATGGATTTCTTTAATTTCCCAGATAAATATCGGCTGTGTTGAACTATTTGCATGAATAGATTCAACAGAATAAATAAACAGCGTGTAAACAAATGACGAAGTTCGCCTTAATACTGAAACTATTCGTCATAGCTTTCGACTGGTAGGTTACTTACTGTTGATTTAATGGGTAATATTAGAAGATGAAGTGAAGATATGTGTGTGGCATGTTTATTGAAATACGGAGACTTTTTGCCAAAAAAAATCTCTCTTCGACCTAAAAGCCATCCCTGTAAAATAGTTATTTGATAACAAGAACTGGAGTCAGATCATGCGATTGTCCACGCCAAGTAAACTATTAAGTCGCGTCATCCTGTAGGAAGTGTAAAGATGCACTGAACAAATCAGAGCTCCTATCGGAACAAGCTGAATTCAGGAGAGAAAGAAAAAAAGCCATGCGAGAATCATATTGCGACTTTATGCATCATCATAAAAACAGAGCATAGAACGGCAATCAAACGTCTAGATCAGCTTCATCCACTTTGAAACGGCTTTCGACGATGTTGACCACGTAGTCATTTGGAAATTACCTCAACGCTACATAGTGAAATGGACAAACTTTCATCAACCTCATTTAACAGCTGTGTTATAATGCTGCCTGTCAATTGATTCACAAAGGAGGACTACTCAGCGAAGCCTATGAATTGAACACACAGAAGTAAAACAAGTCTGGCTGTTATCACCTATGATGTTCCTGACTGTCGTGGTCTGAATTATGCGGAAGACACACAGCCACATGCACACACACACACTAAGTTCAGGGATTTTGTGGGAAAATCGATAAACTGGCAGAAGAATCAGCAAAGGCAGAATTCAAGTGAACATACAGAGGAGATGGAGCTGGTGAAAAAACAACCAAACAGTACCAATCCCTATGAATGGGCGAAATTTGAAGTAGGTTACTTCCTTTAGTTATTTCAGCCACAGGTGACAGCATGGGATGATAATGTCAACACCAAACAGGATCGGAAAGGCAAGGTGGACATTCATCACTCTGAAATCAGTATGGAAATTTCGCTGAATTCAGAAGAAAGAACGAATCTGGTTCTTCAACACCAATGTTAAGTTGGTCATCTATTCTATATGGATCAGAAGCTTGCATTGAGCGTCACAAAAAGCAAATCCATCAGATCACTACAGACGTTCATTAAGAGCTACCTTCTCTAACTCCACAATGAAAATCAAATGGCCTACCAGAAAGAATTAGCAACAAGAAACTTTGGGAACGAACCATTTAAAAACATTTTTTAAAATTTTATTCCTTTACATTACCATTGGTATATATGGCTTCAAGCTAGAGGCATAGTGGTTTTCTTTAATAATAATAATAATAATTTACTTTATACCAAAAACGGTACTTGTGATACAGAATGGAATTTTCAGCATTAATCACACACAATATTCCACCTAATTAATTTCCTCAAATTATAAATAAAATTAATCACACAGAAAATCTTCCGCATTTACAATAGGGGTAATGTCAAAAACATGCAGCATATAAAATGGAAATAATAATAATGATAACAGCTAAGGTAATTAATAATAATAATACAAGTGAAAATTCCCGTGGGCTTGTTTCACACTGTATTGTCGATGCGGTATAGAAATCCCAGCATGTTTAAAAATATCGAATATAATGTTCTTTTTACATGATATGGTGAGGGGAAAAACAAAGATTACAGCCGTCATGGAGATAAGTTGGTGCTTGCAATTATAAGAGTAAAACAAAGAAGCAACAGGACCATAAATATAATAGAAATAATAAAAGTAAAACTTGAAGGTATATAAGGATGGATGGATGGAGTAAATTGTTTAATTACTAGATGAAAAAAGGTTAGTTAGTTCTTGCCTGACAATATTTTCATCAATTAAAATACGTGCCAAGTATGGTATCATAGAATTTCTATACTTAGAAGTGTGAGAACACAGTTTTCTGAAGTTACTTCTTGTTCTACCTGAAGAGATGCAAGGTGAAAGCTGAGGGTACAGTGGATGCTCGAAGTCAGACAAAATGCCTCTAGCAAATTTATTGCACGAATTCAAGTGCCTATCGACAACAACGTTAACTATGTGGTCCACTGGGATACCATTCACCACCCTACTGACAGTCTTCAGCATTCTACGAATTGTGACATAGTCCTTTTTAAGCAAACCAGGAAACAATAAACAAGGGTGAACAATAAAGAAGAATAGGTAGGATGCAAGAGTTTATGAACTGTAAGAGGAGGATTGCTAGCGTCATGCTTTACCTTCTCTCAATACTAGTCTTATTTCTTACTAAGCGAGGTTTTGGAGTGCATCGGTGGCTGGGGATCGAACCCCAAACCACAGCTGTGTCACCGAAGCAGTGAATACCCATTGCTCGAGAAATATTCCAGTGAAAATAGAAATGGATCGGATACTTTGAGGAAACCGCTAGGTAACATCCCGTGACAGACAGCTGAGAGTAAGCCGAGTGGGAAAGGATGAGTTTAGCATCCGACTGACATGGATGAGATCGTGTGGGAGGTAGATGGGTGAGTACAGGAAATCGTCGAGCCAGCTGAATAAGACTCCATAGGATACGACAATGTGGGAATGTGCTGCTGAAACGCAGTATCCCACCTGGAAACCTAGGGAACACTAATAATAATAATGAAATCACTTGGTGACACCAGATTTTCCAAAAGTATCTGTGTGAAGCCGATTCATTGGCTACAGTAATACCAAATCTATATAACTGTTTACGTATTAGATTAGTTCAGAACTAAATCCAATATGGAATAAGGTAGAATTGATAAAAATAAAGTATTTCAAGTTCAAACGGAACTCTTACTCTTGCTTATAGACAACCACCCACCAGCCTTAAGATAACTCGAAAATAAATCCAACATTTATCAGATGTATAACACACGTTGACTAATGTTATTTTAGAAAACAGAAAGATTGAGCGAAGAAATATTTACTTTTCAATTAGATCCTCATCTCTGGCTCTACTCTAATATACACGCATACTATTTTAATTACAATACAACAGTTTGCCAATCAAGTGACGATAAGTTTTTTAACAATAATTAGTCAGTGTCAAAATGTCTACCAGTTTGACAGCAGCTGCGGAGCCAGCTACATCGGGCGTACAATTAGGCAAGTTCATCGTCGTATTTCCGAACATCATCCAACGTGGTTAAGTAAGGGACAAAAATGATCTATTCGTAGTTCTATTTTAGCTCACCTCGTTGATACTGAACATAAGGTTGAGGTTAATACTGCATTTAAAATTATTTATCGCATTCCGTCTTATCTTAATTTTGCTCTACGAGTTCGCCTTCTACAGACAGCTGAAGCAATCGGAATTCACCGGAAGAAGCTAAGCCTATGTGTACAGAAAAAATATGTGCAGCCACTTTCCCTACCGTGGCCATCGTCACAAGAATGCATAAACAGGACTACGTCGCCCCCCTCCCCCTAAACCTATAAAAGTTATAGTTGTCCAAATTATTTTAGTTTTATTTATTTTGACCACTTCATCTTTAATTTACGTGTTATCCTTGTAAAATTAATTTATTCTAACCATTTCTACCTTTAAACTGTGTATTGACTTTCTTCGTTAATTATCAACTCATTGACATTTTGACACTGACTAATTGTTGTTAACAAACATATCAGTGCCCCTTGATTGGTGAACTGTTGTGTATTGTAACAAAAATGCTATGCACAAAATATCAGAGTAGAGCCAGAAATGAGGATCTAATTGAAAAGTAAACATTTCTTTGCTCAATCTTTCTGTCTTCTAAACGTCTAAATGGGGATTTTTTCTTTAATGTTATTTAACAGTGAAATATTTTCCCATTATTGATTTGTTTCATGTAACTTTCTTCTGTCTATTTCCCCACCGCCTACTCCCGCCTATTTAGTGTCGTGTTAATGGTTGTGAACTTGGTAAACGTGAACGCATTATCAAGTGTATAAATCCAAGACGTGGTCCAGTTCACGATTCAGTGTGTAGTCATTTAAATAAACCCTTAAACTGGACTCTTTGTCAACTGTTCAAATGCAAAACTTTTGAATGGGTAACAGGACCTTGGAGTACAGTAAGCTCAACATTATTTATTTGCTTTACTTCATAAATCTATGTGGAAATATTTCTTTAACATGATCCAAATGACATCATGATTAAATCTAATCATAACTTGAACATAAATTAGAAAAATCTCATAATGAAAACATATTAATTTTCCGTAGTTGATTTGTAAGGATTAGTTTTATTTCTAAGAGTTGATCACGGGTTGATATCAGCTAGAGAACCATTGAAAACCACCACAAAGTTCTCGACAGCTGTTTTATCAGTCCAGTTTGGGAATCATCGGAAGTACACACCCACCACAGAATCGTTCAAACTCAGGACCTTCCAGTTACAAGTCAAGCTAACTCGTATACCATCCAACAACCACTGGAAGCACCCGATTCAATGGCCAGCCAACCCATCAATTCTAACTTCTACCAATTCGTGATGAGCTTAGCGCGACTGACACCAACCAATCGGTGGTCATCGGTGGGACATGCATCGTCACACATGACATCTGGATGAACCTCACTGGTCATGACTTCTCACTAGAACTCTAGGAAACTCCGTCCTGTAGCAAGTCAGTCACTAGCGAGCATCAGATGAATATTTGAACCCTGACAGTGGGTGTGTACTGCTGATGATGATTCCGAAACTAGGCTGATGAAACAGCTGTCCAGTACTCCTTGTAATTGGTTTTCAATGCATGATCAAACTCGTGAAAGCCTATTGCTGAAAATAAAATCAAAGGCAACGATGAAAATGTTCTTTATCAAAGAAATCATCTTCAGAGACTTTATAGTCGTATTTATATTCACCCAAAATTTATAGTTGTCCATCCCTGAGTAATAGGATGGGTGGCATAATTGATATGGTTACTCCAAAGTGGCTTCAAAATAAAAAATAAGAGTTGTGGATGACGCAGTAGTACTCAACGGTACAAAGGAAGAAAGCGTTAGAAATCTGATAAGGTTAAAAATTATTATTATTGAGTGAGAATAAAGGTAGTTGAGTGTCCATTTAACAAGTACGAAAAGGGGGTGAAAAAACCAACAAAAGGAACATGTGAGAATGATAATAGTGAATTAATTATTCAAGTGAAAGCAAAGTAATCATAAAAAATAAAAATAAAAATTTACAAGCAACAACTAATGAAAGGTTAAGACCATAGTAGAGAATGAGAGACTGGAGACAAACTTTTCGTGCACACAGAAAATTTTCTTTGCTGAATTCTCTTTTATTTTCCTCTAGAAAACATATTAGATAATAATTCGAATACTTTTTATTCTCCTGATAACTGCAAATCCTTCTTTGTATGAAAAGACAATATTTTCTGATGGTTTTGTGACTGACAAAACTCTGGACATCCACACCATGAGTGTTATCTTTGATATTTCTCTGCACAACCAAATTTGACAGTGAAATTTTAAGTCTAGCATGGCATTTAAAACAATACTGACTCACCACACCAGTAAAATAAGGAACAATTTTGTACGAGAATTCCATACGTTGTCTAGTTTTTTTTTAATTAGTGGATGCTGACTAGCTGTGGAATCCCGTCAGGATGCGCATTTCGTCCTATCTGAGACTCCTCCTCTAGCTGGATGTGCCTGCATTAACCAATGAGTGATGATGTTCCGACCGAGGCTCAAACCCTCTGCCCATAGTTTCAAACAACAGCCAAAGTGTTATCCACTAGACCACTTGGGCGCCGAGAGCCAGTGCCTCTTGTGCAGCGGGTCATATTTAACTGAATTTGAGATTTTCCCATCGATTGATTGGACCGAAGTGCTCGGTCTCAGGTTAACATGTCGGCTTCTTGTGCAGATGCTTCGGCGATGTCTGGTCATTTAGTTAATATTTAATTGGTGGATGGTGACTACTAGTGGAGTCCAGGATGCACATTTCATCCTATTTGGGACTTGGCTAGTTGTCTAGTTTTCATTTTGTATGTGGTTGATGCAATAGGTTACAGTGCTTACTATACCTGCTTGGCTATAAATGTATGCTTCTATAAGCTCTTACTTTAAAGCATTTAATTTTACATTAGATACGTTTACTTTAAATACCAAACAATGATGCAGCATTGACGAAAACAGGATGGTAGGTTAGATACTAGCATTTATAGGAAAGCGACACATTCTAATAAATACTTAGACTTTAATTCATTCCATCCAGAATCGGGCCAAGAGCCCAACTAGTAAGCCAGAAGATTTAAATGATGAAGTTAAACAAATGGAGAAGATATTACTAGTGAATTTATTTGGAAATGTATGAAAAGCCATTGGAAAATTAAGATTAGTGAACAAAATGACGAAAATAATTTAGAGTTAGAAGCCTCTGTAGTACCTCCATATAGTGAAGGAATATCAGAGGCGTTGTGTAAGATTCTCAATGAGACCGGGATTAGGGTAGCACTTAAAACCAACCAACTCTCTCAGAGATAAACTATGTCAGCTCAACGACCCAACACATGCAATCAGAAAAGTTAAATAATTCAACGAATACAATGTAATGACTGTGAGTGGGGTCAATGACACAGTTCAGACTAGTAGATCGGCGTCAACTAGATTATTAAGACATAAAAATTTAGCTATACTTAGAATGATTGACCCTGCTAAGTTAGATAACCTAGAAAACACAGCTCAGCCATTGCACTGTATTCACTTGCATATAATCAAAAAAAAAAAATAGGGTGCGTGTGACAGGGTGAGAGTATCAAAAAGTAACAGAGTTATGTGGAAGGAGGGAGAGAGAGAGAGATCAGATCAACACCTCACATGTGCAATCAGAATGACACAACCCCTTTACCGGACATATGGAAAGTTAAAACAATTAGTCCATTTAATAAATTTGAATAAGGCATTTAGAAGACAAATTTCACGAGATGATATCGTCATTTCATAGTATCTCGACAATCACTATACAACTAGCATGGTTCACATTCATCAAATTAAATGCATGACAATTACTCAGTTATATATAAAACAAAAGTACATACTGATGACCGATCACATTTAACTAGGTCAAGTAGTCCATGGCAGGCGAAGATGGAAGTCTATTCTTCCAGCAGGAACCAATTGTGCAACAAATGCTCAGGAAGAAATGGAGGTGGACTGACTGGTCATACTCTGAAGAAACTGTCAAGTGACATCACTAGAAAAGCCCTCGAGTTGAACCCGAATGGGAAACAGCGAGTTGGTTGTCGGTGCAAGGTTGACATGGATAAGGTTATGTAAAGAGGAGATGAAAGCATGTGGGCGAACGTGGAGCCAGGTGAAAACGTTGGTAGAGAACCGAACGCAATGGAGACTTGTGTCTAAAGCAATATGTTCCTCTAGGAACTAAAAGAAAACAATATTAATGTATGTATATGATTATTTTGTGAATCAATCGCCTTTTAATTCCATTTATCTTGTATTTCCAGTGTCCAGAAACATGCGGGTCACGAATGAGATATCGTCAAGTGAAATGTGTTGACGATTTAGGCAACGAGTATTCAGAATCTTTGTGTCCACAAAATCTGCGTCCTAACAGTTGGAGTATTTGTCCAAATTTATGCTCAGGTATGAATGCATAAATATATAAATCTTCACAATACCACTAGTTTTACTTTCACTACATGAAATATACACAAAAGATTTTTTCCCAATAATACATCATTGGTGTTTTCAGGAAATCTGATGGAAATTTTCTCAAACAGCAGAAAATTAAACATACTAATACAATTATTGGTTCATAGGGATTTTGTTTGACTGGTTGAAGGACTTCATCACGAGCTGATATCAGTTGGAGATCCACTGGAAAACTTGGGAGTACTGAACAGGCAGTTACCTGGGGTTCTCGTGGGAGGCCATGACCAGTACGCTACAGCAAGCTGAAGAAAAGGGCAGTTACTCCTTGAAGAAGACATTCCGAAGTGGTTATGAACTGGCAGAAGTTAGAATTCATAGGCCGGTCATTGGATCGGGTTCCAGTGGCTTATCGGTCCACAAGCTCGCCTTGTAATCAAAAGGTTGTGGGTCCGAACCCTGGCGTTGGATGCGTACTCCTGGAGAGTACCAAACTAAGCTGGCGAAACAGCTTTCCACTACTTCCAGCTGGTTTTCCAATCGTTCTCTAAATGATATCAGCTCATGATGAAATCCTCAAACCAATCACATTATTAATAGAAAAATTCCCGGAAAAAAAGCTATAGAATTATGGTGGCTAATTTAACTGTTAAACAGTCAACTCAAATAGTCCTTAAAAACTCATTCCAGCTCCTAAATCTAACAAATATATTCATTGCAGTTACGTGAGGCCTGATCATCTGCCTAACTCCTTTACTGACCTGAACTTGATACCCCTCTTACCGCTACTACAAACCTCACATTTCATTGACATTCAAGTTACTAAAAATTAGGGTTAGTAAACTCGCGAAATTCTTCGAAAACACATCTCAAAACTTCTTCTGATATGTTGATTCTGCTTAAAACAGATTTCACCTAAGTATAATCCTATACAGAATGTGAGAGCGGAACAAAGTTGCTCCTTCTCCTACTTGGAAATATCATGAGCTCTACTGACAAAATAAATTACTAATAACTATGTATGTTCTGACTTCAAACAAAACTGTTTCTGTGAGAATTATATATCGAAATAGGCTTCTCTAATCCAACCTAAAACTACTTACTTGAGTAAAAAGAATATCACCCGTAGTGCTCACCGTTGGAAGGTGACAGACATCCTACGAAGAAACAATCCCAGCTGACTCTGATCAACGAAGTAAATCGCTTCAACAAATCAATTCCGTTGATCTCTGGATATTTCAAGTAAGATTACAATATATAGGCCTCTTCAATTAGTTCCTCCTCCTCATCATCATCACCACAAATATACTTACACCTATACACAGCCCCTCCCATCAGAAGTGTACCAATCATGTGGTTATCTCACTCCATAAGAGTTGTCACTCTAAGGGATACGTCACCGGGTAGACAAAGAAACGGGGTTAGAAAGTCACCAAAACGACCATAACTGGTAGATATTCGCAACAAGATATCTAATTTCCGAAGGAGGGAGGCGTGTGCATCGGTGGCACAGTGGTTAGGACTCTCGCCAACCATGCAAATGGTCCAAGGTTCGATCCCCTGCCGACTCACACCTGATATCTATGGTCGGCCTGCAAAATTTGGGCTTCCAGTATCACATGCTGAAAATTCCGTACTTGTACCAAAAATACGGTGTGGAATAAAGCTGTAATTTGAAACATATAAAATTATAATTACAAAATTCAACATCAGTTAATTTGCAGAGCTTACCAACAAATTATTACATAATCAAGGAGTTCCTATAATAGTTGATGATAGATAGTTAGAAATGGAGGCGAAAATCGCTTTTAGAACTTTACACATATTTTGTAGTTATTTTGGGACAAAGAAGGGGGCTACACGGATTTCTTTTGAACATATCGATTTGTCTTGTTCAGCATAGCGAAACTAGAGAATGATCATCTTAAAGATGTAATGTATTAATCCTTGATTTCTATTACCGATATGTCAAATGATACATATATGGTACTGAGGAAAGAAAGTGAGTCAAATTACATATTAGAGAGGTTCAATAAAACGCATCCTGTCATAAGTTTTACCAAGGAAAAAGAAGAACAAATTGACTAATGGTTTTTGGATGTTCTAACGACTAAACGAACAGACGGAACAATATACAGACGATTCCATTGGAAACCTACATCAACTAGCAAAAAAATGAACTATACAATGCAAACTTATTTTGGTTAGATGTTAATTTTACCGGGCTAGAATTATTTGTTCAGATGAAACACTGAACGTGAAAATTAGGCAATATTCGTCATCGACTAAATAGATGGATATTTTTTTCAAAATTTCTGAATAAACTCAAAGACTCAGAAAATAAGCAGCCCAAAGGGTCCACAGCTGCGAACAAATCAGCATTCCTAAGCTCGCAATTCACCAGATTCTCTAACGTCTGAGAAAAGGCTTCATAAGGACTTTTAACACAAGGTATGCTGCTTATTCCCTAGCCAAATAACCAATGCTCAGCTCAAGAAACAAAGACAAATCACCCTGTTTCACCTGTTCCATGTGTATTTACCAGCTGAACTGCTCGTGTGGAGCTAGTTACACTGAGTGTACGATCAGGTGAAATCATCGTCGAATTTCTGAACACCTCCCATCTTCTTTTTGGCAAAGGTTCGAATAAAGTTATACACAGGTTAATACTAGTTCATCTCGACAATACTGAACTTTATCGTATTTCACCCAACCTTTCACATGCTCTACGAATACGATTTTTTGATACAATTGAGACAATCAGAATTCATCTGATAAACAAACCAAACCCGTGTGTTTTGAAAAGAAATTCGTGTAACCCCTTTCTTTGTACCGAAACAACTACGAAATATGTGTGAAGTTCTCAAAACGATTTCCGCCTCCATTTCTAACCATCTTTAGACTTTGTTATTTTATTTCGATTACAATTCTGGTTAATTAAATTAACTTGTGTTGTGTCCTATGCGAATTTCCTGAGTGATTCCACTTTTCTTAGTCATCAACTAATATTATAGGCATTTGTTGATTACGTAATAACTTTTCGGTAAGCTCTACGAATTAACTGATTTTGAATTTCGTAATTACCTATCTACACGCCTCCCTCCTTCGGAAATTAGATATCTTGTTGCGAACATCTACCAGTTATGGTTGTTTTGATGACTTTCTAACCCCGTTTCTTTGTCTACCCGGTGACTTATCCCTTAGAGTGACAACTCTTATGGAGTGAGATAACCACATGATTGGTACACTTCTGATGGGAGGGGCTGTGTATAGGTGTAAGTATATTTGTGGTGATGATGATGAGGAGGAGGAACTAATTGAAGAGGCCTATATATTGTAATCTTACTTGAAATATCCAGAGATCAACAGAATTGATTTGTTGAAGCGATTTACTTCGTTGATCAGAGTCAGCTGGGATTGTTTCTTCGTAGGATGTCTGTCACCTTCCAACGGTGAGCACTACGGGTGATATTCTTTTTACTCAAGTAAGTAGTTTTAGGTTGGATTAGAGAAGCCTATTTCGATATATAATTCTCACAGAAACAGTTTTGTTTGAAGTCAGAACATACATAGTTATTAGTAATTTATTTTGTCAGTAGACCTCATGGTATTTACAGCCCTGATACTCAACTCGACCAACGCCAAACAAAGAATATTTCTTATTGGCATTTCAAGGAATTCGTCTTCAAGCTGTTCAACAATGAAGCGTACGTGGTTTGATATTCGGATGTTGGATTTATGATTTCTCCAAATGACATCCCCTCCCCCAAAGATGAATATTAGCATTTAAAGTTCCCCAGTTGATTATGACTAGTATGCTGCGCTATTATACTGTTTAACATAAAACCTGTTGTGACCCGTAGGGTGCAGCAGGTCGGGTGCGAGGACAAATACTTGCCGAAGACATTGGCTAGTGGTCACGTTATGTCGTGAATTGGCAGAAGTTAGAATTCATGGGCCATTGGATCTGGTAAGTCCCAGTGGCCTAATGGTCTACGAGCTAGGTTGCCTTGTAACCAGAAGGCCTTGGGTTCGAACCCTGGTGGTTGGTGCGTACTGCTGAGGAGCCTCAAACTAGGACGAAACAGTTGTCTGTCCAGTACTCCCAGGTTTTCCAATGGTTCTCTAACCAATATCAGCTCACGATGAAATCCTGTAAGCAATCAAATCCCTACAAACCAACGCCTAAATAAAACCTGTTTTTTCTACTGAAGGCTATACACGTAATTGTATGGTATTCAGTATACAAAGATCTAGGAGTTTAGATACAACATGATTGACATGATGACTACTCAATTTCGCTGATCGTTAATGATCATAACTTTATGGAGAATACTAAATTCAGCAGAACAAGTTAACAGTCTATCTCTCAAGCCTAAGGTTTGTGTTGTATTTTTTTGTATTTCAATCTATCAATTATATGACGTGCGTCGGTGACACAGTGGTTAGGACGCTCACCAACTAGGCACACATGATTCGGGTTTCGATCCCTGACCACTGACGCACTCCTCTACCTCGCTAAACCATAAATAAAAGCCTGGTAAAGAGGAAAGGTTGTGCATGAGGCTAGCAACCCCATCCTGTAAAAGTAATCACCACTGCTACCGTAACTTCAAGCCTCTAGCTTGAAGGCGCCCTATGTTCCACTGGCAACATGAGGGAATAAAAAGAAAGGAATCATATATGACATTCAACTGTTATTTAGGTTGTTCCAAAAAGGTCAAAATTTTATTATCTTATTGCTTTCTGATATTGAATATTGAACAGCAAGTATTATACGTTTAAATATTTTGGTGTGTTTGTCAATACTTCACTTTTACGTTTTACTTTTTTTTATAATACATATCTATAGATGTACCGAAAAGTTGTCGGGAATTGAAACATCGTTATCCTTCAGCAGATGATGGTACATATCACTTATTAATTGAATATTCATTAGTTTATGTAAGTTTGTTTTGTTAAATGAGTTTGTTTTGGGTGATTTGTAGGCGGGTAATTTTGAAAACATTTTAAGGTGACAATATTTAATGAACTATGTGTGTTGAAATAAACACACACACCTTATCTTCAACGCATCATTTGCACGGATCTCGTGTATTTTTGATTGAACACTAGTCATTAACTAGTGTAATGTGTCTAGTCTACTTCTATCTTTAGTGCAGACTGAATTCTATCAGTCAATCTTGCAATGTGGCCAACGTGCTAGGTGGCTCACTATCACGTGCACTATGAATTGTTAGCATTAGATGGTTGGAGGGAATCAGCAGTCAGCCTAGAATTCAGTTTACACCAAAGATAGAACTATACACACACACACACATTAAACTAGTTACTGACTAGTGTTCAATCAAAAAGTATTCAATACAGGAGGTCAATCGCAAACTGACTAGCTCAGTGGTAACATCTCTGACTGTAGTGATCAGTGGATGACGTGGGGTTCGAACCTCAGTAGGAACATGTGTTCCTAGGGGTTCAAACAGAGCTTCCAGCTTACTCCCTCTAACCATCTAATTTTATATACAATTATGCATTCAGGTGGAATGAAACAACAACTAATGTTCATCCCTACAGACTGTTAATTACTATTGTCAAACACAACCGAGATTCAATACACCATTTCAGCATACACATAAGTAGAAATAATACACATGCTAGTTAAATTGGTACACTTTTGTTTTCATTTCATAGATTTACTGTGCAGACATGGAGACAGACAATCCCTCAGAATACATCACTTTACGTCAGATCAATTATGCTGGATCATCAGAATTTTTACAGCCGTAAGTGTATAATCAGTCTTAATTGTGTATTCTTCTTATACTGAATTCAGAATCATTTCATGAAAAGGGCTAGAAATCTCTTTATTTTTTTTATTTTTGATTTACAGCTTGATTCCACACACTGTATTTTCGGTACAAGTATGGAATTTTTTTAGCATGGATATCGGTAGCCCAAATTTTGTCGGCCGACCATAGATATCAGGTGTGCGTCGGTGCGGGCCCGAACCCCGGACCATGTGCATGGTCGGTGAGAGTCCTAACCACTGTGCCACCAACGTACTGCCTTCCTAAATCTCACTTACAAACTCACTATCCCAAGTAATGTTCATTCTCATTTGATAAATAAATAATTACCAAATGTTTGTTTTCAGGCATTCGACTGGCTACAGGTTGACACCAGTTGGACAACCATTAGGAAACCGGTAGGGAGTACTGAACATCTGTTTCTTCCTTGTTTGGGATTCCTCAAAAGTAGGCACACACACTGGGGTTCGAACCCAGGACCTTCCGGTTACAAGGCAACCTCGTAGATCATTCAGCCACTGAGAAGAGGTCTAATAGCCCACAAATGTCAACTCCCGCCAATTCACGATTTATAAAGTTCAACTCGGTAACCAGTAGCATTAGCAAATTGGTGAATTTCGCTGGTTACGACTGCTCCCTAGGTGTCAACTCCAGATGAAACCTGTAACCAATCAAATCCTTGCAAAGCACAACTCGCGATAACTAATCTGATGCTTGCCAGTAACTGGCTCCATACAGAAGATTATCTGGAGTTCTAGTAAGGAGTTCGTTGTATTTCTGAAGAGTCCAAAACTGGGACAAAACAACTGTCCAATCCTCCTCCTAGATCCCCCAACGGTCCTCCAACACAAATAATTCATTTACAAAATCGGCATTCAATTGGCAAGCGATGATTTTTCATTACTACATTATTCAACACATTTTCTGCTATGTTTTACCAGTTTTTGAGACTAACTGGATAAGAGATATCAAATATTCTTCTAGCTCTTGTTAGAAATAATATTTTAAATCCACCGGCTTCCTAGATTTCATTTTTCTGTTTATTTTTAAACATAATGGTACACTGTTAGCCGCTGCTAAATAATATGAAGAAGTAACTAAACACCTCCTTGTGTGCATCTCGACAACACACAGTAAATAACAAATACTGACAGATGATATACGCTAGTGGTTGGATCATATTGTGAGTTGGCAGAAGTTAGAATTCATGGACCGGGCATTGGATCAGGTCACCACCCAGTGGCTTCATGGTCTACTAGCTGGCTTGCCTTATAACCAGAAGGTACTGGCTACTACCGGTCACGCAACCAACTTCCACGGTGTGGGCAGCCGGGAAGTAACAATCGCCCTCACAATCCGAAACGCACGCGAAACCTCTCTATTACTCACTCATCTTTGTCTTCATCTTCATCTCTATCATCTTGCCTTCCTTCCACTGATGCAACTCCTCGACTTGATAGCTCTCCACTCTGCATCCACTAAAAACGATGGAAGCCAAAAAACCACCACCGACAGCCTCTTAAAGCCGCGCCACCAATTTCATATAGGAGCTCTTAATGTTAGGACACTTTGCCAAATAGGACAACAAGCATCACTAGCCAAGACCCTGGCATCACGAGCCATTGATGTATGCTGTGTTTCAGAAACACGCATACAAGACCCAAGTGTGGTTATTCACCTAACCCCACCTGGCCAACAGGTTGAATCTGCAAAATTCACCTTGAGGGTGTCAGGAGATGCCACAGCTAGTTCACGAGGATTAGCTGGCGTAGGGATAGCTTTGAGTACTAGGGCAGAAAAGACATTGCTTGACTGGATCCCGGTAGATAGCCGAATGTGTGCTGTCCGCCTGAACGGATCAGTAAGAAGGAGGAAGGACTGCACTACTCGCCGATGCCTTTTCGTAATCTCCGCCTACGCCCCCACTGACTGCAGTTCAGATGAAACGAAGGATGAGTTCTACCAAAAGCTGTCTAGTTTGGTGAGAAAGGCTAAACGCTCAGACATAGTCGTTCTAGCTGGTGACTTTAACGCTCAAGTAGGGAAATTGTGTCAATCTGAGAAGGATGTCGGTGGCACCTATGGAGCTCCGTGCCAGCGAACCGACAACGGTGACCGTCTCCTACAGTTCTGCTCTGATAATCATTTGTTTCTTGTAAGCACTAACTTTAAACACAAGGAGAGACACTGTTTGACTTGGAGACCCCCTTCATCAAACCAACGCTGGACACAAATAGACCACATAGCAATAAGCTATCGTTGGCGTGGGTCGGTAGGAGATTGTCGCTCCTTCTGGAACACGTGCGTAGATACCGACCATGCACTGGTCCGCGCTCGGGTGTGCTTACGACTGAACGGACGTAGGAAACAGCTGGCGGTAAAACCATCACGTCCCCAGCTCGATCAGGAAACTAAATCCGTATTTGAGGAAGAACTAGCTAAACACATATCTGTGTTCGACAGCTGTGCTCACCCTGAAGAAGCTTGGAAAAATATCCAGGCAGCCATAGATACAGCTGTAAAAGCTGTGAATAAGGTAAACCCAAAGGTGAGTAAAAACCACTGGATCTCCACCGCCTCATCCGAACTGATAGATGCTAGAAGACTTATTCCGGCGAGCTCCGAATTCAATGAGGAGCGAAAGCTGCACAAGAGGAAACTTACGAAAAGTCTCCGCAAGGACCGTGAACAGTGGTGGGCGACAAAAGCCAAAGAGATGGAGAAAGCTTCGAGGATAGGCAACACCAGGCAACTCTTTGGACTCATCAGGGAAACGGGTGGGAGAAGACAAATCATCAGTGAGACAATCTCGGAAAAAAATGGCACTATAATTAGCTCACAGGATAGACGACTGGATCGTTGGAAAGAGCATTATGAGGAGCAGTTTAATTTGCCCACAGCCACGCTCAACCTTCCGAGCATCCAACACCTCCCTGAATGGGATATAGACACAGGTCCTCCGTCCCTAACTGAGGTTACTAAAGCTGTCACCAATCTGAAACTAGGCAAAGCAGCGGGACCTGATGGAATGACTCCAGAGGTATTTAAGTACGGTGGAGACAGCTTACTGTCTGGATTAACTGAGGTACTAGGCAGCGTCTGGGAATCAGAAGAAGTCCCATCGGGTTGGTGTAAGTCACTGATTATCCCCATATACAAGAAGGGAGACAAGTCTTCCTGTGATAATCACAGAGGGATTAGCTTGACTAATATAGTATCTAAAGTCTTAGGCTCAATAATCATGCGTAGACTGAGTGGTGCTCGGGAAGCACAAACACGAGAGAGCCAGGCAGGCTTTAGACCAGGAAGAGGGTGTATTGATCATATCTTCACCCTCCGACAGATTCTAGAACATAGGCATTCCTACCGGCGTCCAACAGTCATTATATTTCTTGACCTAAAGGCAGCATTCGACTCTGTCGATCGAGAAGTTCTCTGGAGATGCTTGGCTGTAAAGGGAATTCCGAGAAAATATATTGCACTGATTAAGGCACTCTACTCGTACTCATACAGCCAGGTGAGGGCTTACGGCGAGCTGTCATCTGAACTGATGACGACCAGTGGTGTCCGTCAAGGATGCCCATTATCTCCTTTTCTATTCAACTTCATCATAGATGTGTTAATGGACTTAACCCTAGGTGACTTCAGCGACTCAGGGATTGACTTGCTACCGGGAATAATCTCGTTGACTTGGAATATGCAGACGATATAGTCCTTCTAGGCGAAGACGCTGACGAAATGCAGAGTCTTCTAAACACCTTGAGCCGCAATCTACGAATGTTTGGCATGCGATTCGCTCCCGCCAAATGCAAGATGATGTTACAGGACTGGACTACATCGACGCCTAGTTTAAAAATAGGAAGTGAAGTGGTAGAGCACGTTGACCGCTTCACTTATTTGGGAAGTACCATCAGCCCCAACGGGCTGATCTCTGACGAAATCTCAGCACGAATACAAGGGGCTCGTTTCGCATTTGTTAGTTTACGCCGACTCTGGCGTAGACGAGATGTTCGACTATCGACCAAAGGGCGGGTGTACTGCTCATCAGTCCGCTCCGTCCTCCTTTATGGTTGTGAGACCTGGCCACTGAGAGTGGAAGACATGAAAAGACTAGCTGTCTTTGATCATAGGTGCCTGCGTTCTATTTCCCGTGTAAAGTGGCATAATAAGGTGAGCAACATTGAGGTTAGGCGTAGAGTTCTAGGTAAACAGGGGAAATCAATCGACGAAGTCGTGAAGCTACAAAGACTGAGATGGTTAGGACATGTGTTACGTATGCCAAGCCATCGCCTCCCTCGACGAGCAATGTTAGCGGATATAGGGTCAGGCTGGAAAAAAGCTAGCGGCGGTCAAACAAAAACTTGGCATCAGTCAATGAAATCCACAACAGTTGGTCTAAGCCACGTAGGAAGGTGTAGACTTCCAGGCTGGGGTCCTCGGGACGGTAAAAATCTATGGTTGGAAACAATTGGTGACATGGCTCAAAATCGTTCTCAGTGGCGCAGATGCATCCACTCCCTGTGACTTATGATCTCCAATGAAACTGTTTTGTTTTTCTTTATTACTCCTTTGTCTCACACCTCTGCTCACTGTTTCTATTATGCTTTTCTTGTACTTTCTTCTCTTGCTTCGCGTGCTACACGGAATGTGGCGACTTGAACTTCCGCACATTTGTGCAAAGTTCTATGTCGAAAACAGACAGACAGACTGGCTACTACGAACTCCTTGGGTGGTGGTGCGTACTGATAAATAGTCCTAAACTAGGCTGACGAAACAGACGGCTGTTCAGTACTCCCTGGGGCTGGTTTTCCAATGGTTCTCTAACCGATGTCAGTCAGTTCATGATGAAATCCTAAAACAATCAGATTACTTGGCTTCTATATCTAACTAAGTGAAAGAAGAAGAACAGCAACACCAATAACTGTCAATAAAAGACATCTCATATAATCTATTAGGCTACTATAAAATATTTGGGGTTTTAAAAACGTTATGTGGTGTTTGGCTCAAAATTCAACGAGGATTAAAGTTCAGTTATACGCAGCTGATAATTTCAAAATGTCGACTTTTCACTAAATAGGAGGATATTTACACACTTTAGTTCTTTTACGAAATCCCCATCGTGTGCCGAATCACAGGAGGGGACATATTGTCTCGTTAGGATTATTATGAAAACCCCAACCTAATTTTATATTCGGTTCTAAACCCGGAAAATAAAAGAAGGTTTGATGTGTGCCTGCCAACCCTACTCCACAAAGTAAACTTGTTATTCCTCACTGAAATCGGAGAGAAGAAATGATCCAGGCTGGTACAAGCCCTCTGGAAGCCAGTGAGTTGATGTGTATTCCTTCGATGAAGGAAGGAAAAAAGCAAGCATGGAGACACGGAATGTCCGCACAATGTTCAAAGTTGATATGGCTGCTCAGATTGCCAAAGAAATGAGAAGATATAGCGTAGAACTACCAGGAATCTGTGGAATGTTGTAGAATAGTACTTTTATAATAATAATCAAAAAACTTATATTTCTTTAGAAGTAGTTATGAATGAATTCCAGGATGTAGATTTTTTTCTATCTTTCAACTTGGAACTCACTAGTTCAACGTCTGCGATTTCACTTGTTCAAAATCCCTAGAATTGATACACTATATTACTGAATCAAAATAACCGCATTTTTGTGCGATAACAGTGATGATATGATATCAACTCGAGATCACAAGTATAAATCGGTAATGACATCTGTAGTTTGGTTTGTAAGGGCTAGTTTTGTTTTTATGAGTTGATCACGGATTGATATCAGTTAGAGAACCATTGAAAACCAGACACAGGGAGTACTGGACAGCTGTTTCATCCTAGTTTGGGAATCATCGTCAGTACGCACCCACTGGAATTCGAACCCAGAACCTTCCGGTTACAAGGCAAGCTCATATACCATTCAGCCACTGGGAACCGATTAAATGGCTCGTGAATTCTAACTTCTACCAATTCGTGATTTAGCGCGACCCCAACCATTGTCGTTGGTGGGATATCCATTCACACACGTGGCATCTAATTGAACCTCACTGGTCACGAATTCTCACTAGAACTCCAGGAAACTGCATCCTGTAGCAAGTCACTAGTAAGCATCAGACTAATCTTCTATAGTTTGGTTTGTAAAGGTTAGTTTTGTATTTACGAGTTGATCGGCGTACTGCCGATGATTCCGAAACTAGGCTGATGAAACAGCTGTCCAAAACTTTCTGGTTTTGAATGGTTTTATAACTGATATCAATCCGAGATCAGCTCGTAAATGACAGCTGTACAAAGGATTTTAGACAAAATCAGTCCATGAAGACACATAAGTGCATGAACTAATAATTAACAATGTCACAGCGCTAACAATTTCAGTGACATAAAGCCACTGTAAAGTATCTTCAAACCTTATTTATCTATCCAATCTTAAGTTGAAACGATATGGGCCCCTAAAAATGTCAGTAAACTGCATCACCTGCGTCGTTGGCACAGTGGTTAGGAATCTTGCCGACCATGCACATGGTCCGGGATTCGATCTCCTGCCAACGCACACCTGATACCTATGGTCGGCCGGCAAAATTTGGGCTACCGATATCACATGATGAAAATACCATACATGTACCGAAAAATACGGTGAGGAATCAAGCTGTAATCAAAAATAAAAGAAGATCCACTAACTAACTGCTCTTTTAATGTTCATACATATATATATGTAAATATGTCTTACATCTCTTTTTTATTCAAAGCTATCCCGCTACTAACTGGTGTCCTATATTCAATGAAACAATATCCACGTTTAATACCTCTGAAAATATCAATCAATTCCAATCAAATATTGATACAATACAAGAAATGCCTGAAAATTTATTCACCGATATGCAAGTGAATGTTATCAACTGTCCAAATTGTCCTACTGTGCCAAATTTAGCATCAAAAACATTTTATCATAAAATACGTTTAGATATATACAATTTAGAAATAAAGAGTAAGTGAATTACCCCTATCTATGACAGTATATATGTTCATATACATTTATGCATAACTGAGAAATATGAATTTGACGGTAGTCCCTAGTGGTAGCTTAGTCAAATGTTTGCAGGACAATGTAACACTTTTGTATATGCATCATTTAAACTATTCTATACATAAGCAGTAGTAGCGTGGCGTGTATTACTGACAAAATTCATCAGTAGTATTATATCAAGAGATGTTCTTCCGCATAGAAACATCAGATAGGAAGGAGATAAATTTGATGTCAGACAGAGCAAGAGATACAGCTTCCCAAAGATACTTGAAGGAAATGAAAGGAACACAGAGAAACCCAACATGAAAGCCAAAAGTAGTACTGTAACAACAGAAGTCAAGACATGGAAACCAAGGCATATTTTTCATTGATTAAACCGTTGTTTATATACCTACAGTTTACATTCGTTAAACAATCACTGAGCGTGTGAATTCGACTTACATTAAACAAGGAGAAATAGAATGTTCAAATATATATAGTATTCTGTTGTTAATGTAGTATATAACTGTGGGTAAAGTGTGACGACTCTAACATCACACTCAATGTTCAAATAGATATATATCTTCATGAGCTGACATTGGTTAGAGAACCCTTGGAAAACCTGGGAGTACCAAACAAACCCCTACAAACCAACACTTAAATATCGATGAAATGCTCACTGGCGACTTGCCCTATTCAGGTAGGTAGTTACCTGAGGTTCAATTGAGAAGTCGTGACCAGCAGGGTGCAGCAAGTCGGGTGTGAGGACAAATACTTGCCGAAGACATTGGCTAGGGGTCACGCTATGTCATGAACTGGCAGAAGTTAGAATTCAAGGACTAGCCATTGGATTGGGTCCCAGTGACTTAATGGTATACGAGCTCGCCTTGTAACGAGAAGGTCCTGGTGCGTACTGTTGAAGAGTTTCAAACTAGGACGTAGGAAACAGCTGTCCAGTACTCCCAGGTTTTCCAATGGCTCTCTAAGCAATATCAGCTGATGATGAAATCCTGTAGCCAAGCAAATCCCTACAAACCAACGCTTAAAGATATATATCTTATTCTGTTGTTAATGCCGAACTGAACTGTGGGAACCTGTGAGAATAATATTCCGTTAGCACACATTGTCTGCATCACACCACCACACTCGTCCTCCCCCTCCCCAGGTCAAAAACTTTCAACTGAAGTCGGTTGGATCTTATTGGTGCTGGCGGCTTTATTAGCTTGTCTTGCTATGTCGAGTTCCGGAGCTCGCCTCTTTGTTTGCCTTTCTGATCGTATATACGTGACCCCGTCTCACAATGACCATGTATGGTCCTTCCCACTTCGGCAGCAGTTTGTATGACCCTGGCTCGTGTTCGCCTAACATTACCATATGTTGCCGTCGTCCGACCCTCCAAACAGCGTTCCAAATAACGGCCTCATCATTGACGCATCTTGAACGCCACCCAACTACACAATAGCCTCGAAGTCCTGTCCGAAGATTCATATGTCTCCACCCATTTGTCAGCAGGCAGTGACAGCAAATGTAACAAATGTGGAAATATGTGAGAATAATATTCCGTTGGTATATATGTCTGTATCACACCACCACAGTATAACACGGAAGATCTGTGCAAATGATGCGATGAAGATAAGGTGTATGCAATTCGGCTGTATAGAGATACCGAATTGCAAATAAACATTAATTTACCAAGTTTTTTGTCTTTCACCGTCACAGTAGCAGTTACAGCTGAATAGAATTGAAAAATATAGTAGTGTACCCAAATGCTCTTTATGACATAAATTTCGTTCGGTACTGCAACCAACCCTCTAAAATAGACTAAATCAGCTTCTCTGAACACATGTACTTGGAAAACTTGGGGGGATGAGGTTCTCTCGTATTTCTGAACATATTCTTAAAAATCTCAATCTTAGAAACCTTATTCCTATATCATCAAGTATAGACTGAGTCTCTCAATTACTCAAAGACTCTAGCTCACACCGATTCTCCAAAGTTGTTTCCACCTAAAAAGCGCAAACCAAGATGATGCAATTTTGTACTTCTATGGTAAGCAATGATCCTAGTTAGAGGCAAATTATTGTTGTTGAGAAAGAAGGAAGGAATAATCACATTTTACTATGTGCACAGATATGATGGGAAATATTTGTCAACTATTGCTTCGTTGAATCTACTTTCAGGATCTTTATAACGTTCAGTCTCACAAAGTCTCACAAGAGACTTAGGAGATTCATCTACACATTCAGTGTCCACCTGGGGTCAAATTCTGCACAGAAAAACGAATAGAAACTCTTATTTAATACAGTCAGTTCCCTTTATAAATTTAGACAAAGCGATAAGAAGTCATAGTTTGTTTGAATCATGTGTGTAATGTGCGTTTGCGTAAGACATTTCAAACAATCTGATCACACACACGAACTTGTAATAGGAATCTATATATATGAAATTGATAGAGAGTTAAGAGGTGAGAAAAAATACGTCGGTGAAGTTAAAAGGACTTAGTGAAGGTAAAAATAATAATGAAGATCACTAAACCAAATTAAAGAGGTAATAGTACATCTAGCCTGTTATCAAAACCATGTTTACCAAGGAAGGTTTAGTGTGATGGTGAATTGTTGCTCTGAACGCATAAAGGTGGTTTGAACTTTCTAATTACAAGCTAGGGCTTCCAAAAACTTTAGGACACACCCCAAACACGTTTTATACACAGGTTTAAAAGACATGTAAACATCAATATTATGTAATGTCTCTAAAATATGTTTTGCGACAGAGGAGCTAGGTTGCGTTTCCTCACCATGAATTGGTTCTAGGGATCCTATCTGCTTTTGGAGCCATTTCGAAGTCACCTCTGAAACCAGCCCTTACTTACAGAGACCGATGAGTCTTCCCAAGTATGTGTGGCCACACATAAGGGCTTCGAAACATATTCCTAAATGGCTCCAGAAGCAAATAGAATCTCCAGAACCCATTAATGATGAAAAGAGGAGACCTAGCTCCTCTACTGCGAAATCTATTATAGAGATATAGCATAAAATTGATGTTCACACATCTTTTACACCTATCTATAGCAAGTGTTTGGAACGTATCCTAAAATTTGTGGAAGCCCTAGCTGACAATTAGAAAGTTTAAACCACCTTGATGCATTCAAAGCACAATTCTTCATCACATTGAACCTTCCTTGGTAAACTCTTATGTCAGCTATTCTGCTGTGCTAACTACCTTATTAGGTTTCAAAATAACAGACTTGACAGAGAGTTATGTAATAGTTTTGGCTACATTGAGATAGGTCAGTATACATGCTGTGTGGTGTAGTGATACAAGCTTAGATTCACCAAAAGAAATTTAGTCCTGCGGATACTGATTTCTCTTTCAGAGTGATACGAATGAAAGCTTTTTTAACTGTAGTGTGTATTTGGTATTTTTTTGATTTTCATCTGTACTATATGTTCTATCTAAAGCATTTGTTGACAACAACAGCGAATCTTCCCAACTTCTCCAGTAAGTAGACTTTCTCACTTCTCATATTAAAAAGTGTTCTTACTATTCCAAAATATCAATTTAGGCCAGGTTTGGAGTAAACAATCACAGAATCGTATATTTAGTAACACTGAGCTTGTTTTGCACATTGACCTGCCAAATATCAGAATAGTTGTTGTAACAACAGAAGACAAGGGCTGGCAACAGATCGTTTTATTACGAAAATCAACACGTATTTATATATATTTTATGTACATTAATAAGGCTTATGCAAGCAGAAAAAGGCAGTCTTCTGATTGGTTGTTTCTCAGAAGTTAAGCAGACAAACACAGTCTTATGATTGGTTGTATTCGATATTTCTCAGAAAGTAGAGCCATCTATCTGCGAATCATATTTGTCCACGTTTAAGTTTGCTGTGATTGGTTGTTGAAACAGCCTTGTTCATATTTTCCCACGGCCCATATTGGTGACCTATACATTAACGTAGATTAGTGTCAACCAATCGGCTAGCAGCCTGCTCTCACCACATTGTGAGTCGCACATATATATATATATATATATATATATATATATAATGCATAAATCACAAAATCAAAAGCTGTCTTGTCTAGCTCCATATTAAAGATCTAGCGGGTCTGCTAGAAAGAGTGAGCAACAAGAAACTCTCAGAACCAACAAACAAGAACGTGTTGTCTAGTAAATAATGTAGGAGGAAATCGAGATGGATTGGGCAGCTGCTGAGGAGACTGTCGAATGACATCGTACGTCAGGTCATCGAGCGGAACCGGAATGAAAAACGTCGAGTGCGGGTGGGGCGTCCGAAGGTCATATGGAGGAAATCAGAGATTGTGAGAAATTGTGCGGCCAGCTAAAGAGAACCTCAGAAAATAGGACCAGATGAAGGTGTGATTTTGAGGGCATACAATTCCACTCAGAACAATAAGAATAATGATAAATCTGAAAGATATTATGAGTTGAAGCGTTAAAATCACTTTAGGGTATTGGGAATAATACTGTCACTTGATCATTACTCCTGACTGAATTACTTTATGATGTGAAGGATATCTTTCTAATTCACCCATATTTTTTTTAAATAATTCTTCTCTTTTTTGTGCCTCTTTTCAAAATTTCAGTTGATGATACTCGATTTTCACACACTGCTGGTTCATCAATAATACCATATGCAACTGCAAAGGATTGTTTCTCGTCAGCTGTCTGTCCTCAGGTTAGAAATATATGATACCTATGTGTATGGTCATTTCTATTAAAATAATGATAATTCCTTAATAATTTAAAGGACGCCTAGTACAACTTATAATAATTCAGTTAAATAATTCATGATGAAATCTTACAACCAATCAAACAAATCCCCTACAAGAAACAATGCTTGAAAATTAATCTGATGCTCACTAACGACTGGCCCTATTCATGCAGTTAACCTGGGGTGACCTATAGGGGGACAGCAGGTTGAAGGTGAGGCAGTAACTCATCGATGAAGACATTGCGAAATGGTAGCGCTATATCGTGAGTGGATTGGCAGAAGTTAAAAATCATAGACTGACAACTGGATCGGGACCCAATAGCTTAATGGTCTACGAGCTCGCTAGCCTTGTAACCGCAAGGTCCTAGGTTCGAACCCCGGTGGTGGGTGTTTGCTGGTGAAGAGTCCCAAACTAGGAAGAGAGAAGCAGCAGATTATCCAATGGTTCTCCAACTGATATCAGCTCATGATGAAATCCTCCAATCAATCAAACAAAGTCCCTACAAAAACCAATACTTGAAAATTCAAAAAATATCAACTTACTGCCCATAGAAAAGACTAAAATTAAATAGGATAACATAACATAACATAAGCTTTATTCCAAATCAGTACTTGTGATACAGAATGGAATTCTCAGCATTTTACTACAATATTGCATCCAGTTTTTACATTAACAATAAATAAAGTTCTACATAGATTAAAGTTATCTCAACAACATATTAGTATGTCGGTAGCAAAGCCAAAAATTAAAGTGTTTGAAGGTGTTAGAAAAGTAGATACTACTAGCATATTTACTGGCGTAAGCGATAGCAAAATGGTCGAGATATACAGAGTGTGAAAGAACGAACAAGAATGTTTTAAGTAGAGTTTGTAAGGAAGAGAGAAACAAAACAGCACATAACAAAAATAAATACAGAATGAAGAGCGAGAAAACGTTGTACCTGTAAATGATGTGAGTTGGAAAGACGAGATCCATTGGTTCTACCGACTATTTAGTAAGTTAAAGGTTTCATGCCTGATGCATTCTTTATCGCACAGAACACGGGCTAGGTAGGGTATGGATGAGTTTTTGTACTTACTAGTGCGGGCATATAGTTTCCTATATAGGCTTCTTGTTTTCCCTGAAGAGATACATGGGGAGAGTTGTGAATGTAGAGGGTGTTGTGAGTCAGATAAAATGGATTTCGCCCATTTTTCACATGAGTCCATGTGTCTGTCCACCAGAATGTTAACAAGCTGGCTAAGTGGCAAACTGCTTACCCTGCTGACAACCTTTAACATCCTACGTAATAAGGTATAGTCTTTCTTCAATAGCCCAGGAAAGACTAAGGGGGAGCAATAGAGAATAATAGGCAGAATACGGGAGTTAACAAATTGTAGGAGTAAGGCTTGGGTTACACCAGAATGTCTTAACTTCTTGATGTAGAAGGTAAGACGGTATATTTTCTTGGAAATCGTCAAGATATGAGACGACCAGGAAAGATCAGAAGATAGAGTGACGCCTAGGTATTTAATTTCCGACTTGGTTTCTATTTCACTGCCATCTATGTTGCACACCTCGTGAGTGCTAACCAGTTTGTTTAGGTCAGATTTATGCCTAAAGGTGAAATTAACTGTTTGGCATTTGGAGGGGTTTAAGGTTAGACCGTTTTCCTTGGACCATTGGCTAATTTCTGATAAGAAGCCATTTAGTTTAAAGCAGTCACTTTGACATTTGACAGGTAAAAATACAGTTAGGTCATCAGCATATTTGACAAAGTTAATGTCATTTGAAGACGGTAGGTCATGTAGAAAGAAAGAAAAGAGAAGTGGGGAGAGTACAGCACCTTGGGGGAAACCAGCTTCAGTGAGCACAGCAGAGGAGGATTGGCCTTTGTATACGGTGTACTGCATTCTGTTTGAAAAGTAGGAATGCAACCAGTTAGTGACCCAGGACTCGGTTTGTGTCATGGAGAGCTTATTTAGCAAGAGACTTCTAGGTACAGAGTCGAAAGCAGAAGTGAAGTCAAGAAACGTGCAGCGGACATATTTGGCACCTTTGTCTAATGATGAGACAACATGAGACAGCAATATAAGAGCAAACAGTTCTGAGAAGTGTCTCTTTTTTCAGTGAATTCATTCACTCAGCTGTACTGTACAATCTCATGTGCATGTGTGTATGTTATGTTTGTCAGACTAGAATAAAAGTTCATCTACTACTCTGATGTTTTTATATCCTCGACTGTTGAGTTTTTCAGGTGAAAATATCGTTTGACATAACATTAAATCTATACAAACTACCTAGTAGAACTACAGAAGTATTGAATACAGTTACAAATCTCCTATAATGCTCCTATAAACACCAATGTATTCATAACAATATTTTTAGTTACATTAGGTACTTTAAAGTGTAATTCGTTTTACGTCTTTCTTTATGAGAAGTTCTCTAGATAATATGATAAAAGCTAGTCAGCTCAAGACGTTATTTTGGAAAAATATCTTCTTAGAATAAACATTTTCTCTGCCTGGATGTCCTGTGATACTTCCAGCATTAGCAGAGTGACAAGATACGATAATGTTAAGCCAATAATATGGACATTATATCTATATCTATCCATCCTAAAGTCATATCAACAAGAAAACTAGATTAAAAGCTACACCAAACAGTTGCTTCAAGCTACCTTGAGACATTCCAATGGCATCTATCCAATACTGTCAAATGTCACACTAACTGGCCAACAGGTTAAAATCTAGAAATCTCATATTCCTGCTTCACAGTTACTTCAAAATATAGTGTGATAGTAATAGGAAGCGAAGCCGGTCAGCCTCTCTATTCATCTTCCTAGATTGCCTTATATTCTTTTACTCATTTCATATTGCAACAGTGGAAGGTACTACTGAAAGAAGAGTGACTGAAAAGATTTTTGGAACAAATAAAAATAATTTTCAAGTGATGGTTGACAGAGATATAATTCTTTACAGGTCTGATTACGAGCCGACATCAGTTAAAGAACTATTTGAAAGCCAAGAAGTAGTTGTCATCAGTTTCGTCCTAACTTGAGACTCCTCACCAACGCGCGCCCACCAAGGTTCGAACCCAGGCCCTTCTAGTTACAAGAATGGGTAGATAATAGGAGCTTATTGTTCTGGAAAGTGTACAGAATGCTGAGTTATTTCTCGCCCACCATATATCATGGGCTGTTGAATCAGGTCCCAGTCGGTGAATAGTCTAATAGTTCACCTTGTAACCGGTAGGACCTACATTCGAACCCTGGTGGGGTGTGAGGTACTGAGTAGCAACTAACTAGGATGAAATAGCTGTCCAGTACTGCCTACTACCTCATGGTCGAACCAGTAATACAATAATAATTTATCAGGTCTTATTTCATTACTGCATTATTTCTAACTTTTCAACGAGCTTTAATTCAATATATATATTCTTTTTCAGGGACAATTTCAAATTGATTTGAGAGGTACTGGTTTTCATGTGAGCGTTAAAACACACTGGAGTGTGGGCAGGAACACGGATGGGATATCACACATTTTCCGGTCACACGTAAGTAATATATATATATATATGTCGTTGGCTTAGCTGTAGAACGCTGTCCGACCATGCATTCAGTCTGGGGTTCGATGCCCGGCCGACACACTCCTTTACTTCGCTAAACCGGTAATAAAATCGATCAAGAGGGAAAGTGGGGAATGAGGCTAGTAACTCAATCCCGTAAAAATAAACACTTTTGCTTCTAAAACTTCAAATGTCTAGCTTGAAGCCTTATGTTCCACTAGGAATGTGGTGTGATTCCCACCTGTAAAATGAACATAACACTTTCACAATCACAAAATTAAGTTGTATCCAATGAAACATCATGAACACTGTGCATCTCGTCGAAGTAACTGAAATAACTGAGGGATAATTCCTCAAAAGAATGGATACTGAACTTCATCAGGCTCTATAGTTAAATATACACTATAGTGAATTGTATCTACCAATTCAACTGCGCTTATGGAGCGAGTTATATTGGCCGTTGCTCTAGGAACTTGATTTTTCGTGCTCACTCGAGAACATCTCCCACTATGGCTAAGTAAATGTGTAGTGAAAACCATTAACAGTTCGATATTGGACCATCTGGTGTAAACAGGCCAAAAAGCCAGCCAGCGTGAAAGAATCCTTCTCTATCATCATCCACCGGGTGCCTGATAAACTGCAAAAATCATCGAAGCACCGCATCCTCCAAACAGAGGCTATTTCAATTTGCCTCAAACAACCAGTGCTCTGTGTTCAAAAGAAACTAGTCCATACCCTACTACTGCGCTGGCCGGTCTTCAGTAGAGACTATAAATTCATGAATTTGTAATATTATCTTTCCTATTTTTTCTGACATTCAGCTTATTGTTATGTTGTTGCTAATGAACTGTAATCTCCCAATATTACTGATTCGATGTTATTTAAACAGCATTAATGTTGTTCATAACACTAATTCATTCATTCACTCTTATGTGTGTATTAAATGTAGAGCCCGATGATGAATTTATCGAAAAGAGTACACTTTGATCAGTATCCATTCTTTTGAAACATTTTAATGAAGGATAATTGTTGAGACACATGAAAGTCATACTTCATGTTTTCTGCTGACTGCTTCTGAAAATCTAACGTAAGCATGATATTAAACGGCTGATGCATGCAGCAACATGCTTTACTTAAATGCAGTGTGTGTTACATAAAAGAAATCGTACGTAGTATGAGCGGTATGCTTTGAGAGACCACTTTCCATACCAAATATTGAAATTATTTTCGAAAATGCAATAAAAAATAAAGGGAAATGTTTGGTATACTGCAAAAAACTGAAAAGTGAGGAAGATTTTCATTTAACAAATGGCTGTATGCATGTGAACACTGTCATTTTTTAATTCCTAACTATTACTAAAGTGAACTTCTCATTGATGTATACTAATAATATGGAGTGCGTCGGTGGCACAGCTGTTAGGACGCTTGCCGACCATGTACATGGTCCGGGGTTCGATCCCCGGCCGACGCACTCCCTTACCTGGCTAAACCAGTAATAGAACTGGTAAACAAGGAAGGTTGGGCATGAGGCTAGCCAGGCCATCCTGTAAAATAAACACCACTGTTACAGAAACTTCAAGCCTATAGCTTGAAGCCCTGTGTCCCACTGTGGACGTGAAGGAATAAAAAAATAATGTGGAGTGAGCTACTGACAACATTTATCAGTAGTATATATTGAAAAGAGACGTTTGTCGGTACACAAAAATATCAAACAGCGGAGCGATAGGATTTACCCCAAAAATACCAAATGAAGGAGTATTATGGCGAAGCATGGGAGCCATGTGAAGAGAGAGCAAAGAAACACAATAGGAAGGAAAGGTAGAAGTAGCACAACATGGAAGATCTATCCAAATGACGATATCAATAAGAAATATGCATAATTTCTAAATATGGCTAATTTCAGATTGCTAGTAAACATTTCTTTACCGAGGTCTCTTTTCGTCTCACGTTACAACACACGCATAATTAAGTCAGCAATTTCGACTCGAAACTCTAATGAAAAACACCTTATCATAGGCATTAATCACATAATACGTTCACCGAGAAATCTAAACGTACTACCTTCAATTTGTGTGTAGTATTCGGCAGTGAGCACTAGACAGTTATGGGAAAACTACCTGCCCAGAGATTTTTAATCAATAATTTTTCCCTAGTATTATTATTATTAATTCCTTTAATACCTAGAGGAACTTAGGGCTTCAGGTGCACGTCTCCACTGTGTTTGGTTCTCTGCTACAGTTTTCACCTGGCTCCAAGTCTGCCCACATGCTTTCACCTCCATGTCACCCTTGGACGAACAACTCGCCGCTTCCCTTTCGGGTTCCACTCGACTGATGGCTTGTCTAGTGATGTCACCTGATGGTTTCCTCAGAGTATGGCCAATCCATCTCCATTTCTTCCTGCCTATTTGTTGCACAATCGGTTCCTGGGTGGTTCGCTCATTGCCAGAGATCCCTCCCTGTTGCTGATCTTTTCAGGCCGGCCATCTGATCTTGAGTAGTATTGAGCGAAGACAACTGTTAATGAAGGTCTGTAGTTTGTTTCCGGTGCTCTTTATGACGCGCCAAGTCTCTGATCCGTATAGTAGCACTGACGTCACATTGGAGTTGAAAATCCGGATGTTATTTTCCATTCTGAATGCTGTTGACCTCCACACAGACTTGAGAGTAATGAAAGCTTGTCTTGCTTCCCTGATCCTTGCTGCTTTGATATCCTCATCAGTTCCATCTGACTGTAGTTGAAACGATGCTTCCCAGGTCGGTAGGTGAAGAGGTCGCTTCTTTCAAATTTCCCCCATTTATGCTAGTTGTTGTCTGTTGTTGTTGCTGTTGGCCAGGAATCTTCATCACCTCTATTTTCTCTATGTTCACCTGAAGTTTCCCTAGTATAAGGCTATTTTAATTTTCTGAAAATGCGAATGAATAACACCCGAAACAAGGAAAGTATCAAAAAGTGTTTGGAATAGAGATTAGTCTGAAGTACAGCGTACAATACTCGAGATTTTCAGTAACACATAAGGCTAAGAGATGAAAACACACACTGATAGTGATGGTAAGTTAGATGAGCTGGAGGAGCAGTTTTTAAATGAAAAAGAACTCTCACTACAAGGTGCGTAGTCATAAAAGGGTAGCTTCGCAGTACACCTCATACCAGTGGTAGTTTTAGGAAAGTAGGAATAAAACTTAAACTGAATATTGAGACAGACAGCGGCTGTCAACGCAACGACGAAACAAGCATAAAATGGACCCGCAAAAAAACTTGGAGGGTCTGGAAATCGCCGATGATGATGTATGTCTGATTTCCCACAAACTAGAAGATATGCAGGTGAAAAGCAATAAGTTGGCAGAAGAAGCATCCAGAGAAGATAGGACTTCAGGTGAACATAGAGAAAACAAATGTGATGATGAGAATTTCTTGGATAACAGCAACAACAACAGACAACAATCAGCATAAATGGAAGAAATCTGAAAGAAGCAACCTCCTTCACCTACCGACCTACCTGGGAAGCATCCTCTCAACTACAGGCGGACTAAACTCATGGGGATATCCAGACAGCTGGGATCGGGAAAGCAAGACAAGCTTTCATGTCTCGAGTGTGTGGAGATCAACAAGACTGACTCAGCATGAAAACTAAGATCCGGATTTCCAACCGGATCTCTGGCAATGAACGAACCAAACCAGCAGGAACCAATGGTACAAAAATTTGTGGGAAGAAATGGAGGTGTATTGGCCATACTCTGAAATAACCATCATGTGAGTGACATCACACAACAGGCCATAGATCGAGTGGAACCAGAACGGGAAACGGATAGTTGGTCGCCAGTTCGAGGTTGATATTGAGGAGGTCATGTGAAGAGGAGATGAATGTGGACAGACGTGGAACCAGGTGAAAATGTTGGCAGAGAACCGAACGCGCAATGGAGACGTGAGACTGAAGCCCTATATTCCTCTAGGAATTAAAGGAAACAATTATAATGATATAATAATATTGTTGACTTCATTACTCCACAGTTGACAAGAAAGAAAGTGAAGTCAATTGCATAACATTCATCTGCTTACCAAAACTATAACATAAACTCACTACTACTACTACTACTACTACTACTACTACTACTACTTATCACCAGGATTACATGTTTCGATAATTTAAAGTCTCTTCATAATTTTATGCATATATCTAACTCTTTTTTTATCCCTATTATTATTTCTCTATGCAGAATGGTCAGGTAATACGTGGTCATTGTGGTGGAAAGTGTACAGGCTGTTGGCCTCGACAAGGACTGTTTCTTGACCTGCTAACAGATCAAATGTCAAATCGATAAGTCAGATCAATGAAAACACCTTGAGGCTTTGAAAATCCAGCTCTAAAATATAAATAAATATTTTGTATAAGACAATAAAAAGCAACAACAATTATTACTACTGAAAAATAGATATATATTCAGTAATAAACACGGCAGCTGTGAAATTTTTTTGGAAATCAGACCACATATAAATTGCAAATGAAACTTAATTAATAAAGTGGAATTAAATCGATTTTGTGTGTGTATATATGCTACATAATGTAGATGTGTGTGTGTGCGTGTCTGTACTTTCTAATAACAAACTATTTATCTACCTATCTATCTATCTATCCTACTGTGTGTTTTAATCTCGTCTCATCAACCGTATTTATTCAAGAAGCAACACACTTTACTTGAATTAAATATGACGACGTAAAATCAATAAAATACAAAACAAAACCATATTATAGGATTCTTCTCATACAAACATTTGTTCGGCTGGGAATAGTCATCTTCTCTATTCTCAAATTATTATTACTATTATTATAATTGTTATTATAATTCTTATTGTGTATGAATTTTAATCGATGGGAATTTCTATAACAGATAGAAAAACAAAACAACTTCAAAATCCCCGCCCCACCCCACCTATTTACTTATTTTAACTACCTCTTTTTAAACAGTATTGAAATTTGAACAAATTCTTAACATGTTCAATAAATTTTGTCCAACATTATATATATGCGATAATACACCCCTAACATTGATGGTATGAATAGGAGAGAAAATATTCGTATCACACAATCAATCGATTAACGTCTATTTTAAATAACCCTGCTAAACGCAATCACGTTTCCATAGTGACGAGTAAGTAAGTTTAAAGTTAATGCATTAAAACAATGTCAGTATGCGAAGTATCAACATAAGTGTAAATATTACATTCCAAACCAATAATGCATTGATCCTCCTGAATACATTTACCCCTATCCTTCAGTATTTAATATTTCTAAAAAAAAGGAGTGTTGAACACAGTCTCTCGTACACCAACAATCATATGAATACTTTGGAAATGATGAACAGTGGTTTGGCTAGGAGTATTATTATATATGAAAACATTAAAATATTTTGCATTGAATCTGTTCAATGTTAGCTATTTGATCTCGAAAATCTTGTTATTTATGTAAGAGACAAGTAAAAATAAAAATCAACTGCATTACAAAAAGCGAGGAGACTAATGTGCATGAGTGTATGTTCGCACAAGCACTCCAATGTCCTGTCATTGCCTAATCACACGATGATTTTTACCATCATTATTCCTGTTGAACGTTATCTCCATTCATATTATCATATTATGATTACACTTGGACATGTATGAGAGAAGATATAACCGCAATAAAAAGCCATTTCCAACTAGGAATCTTTTGTTGATTTTGTTTTACCTTTAAGTTTTCTTTTCTAAAAATAACTTGTCCTAGGAATATTTACTTTCTACAGGAGAATATTTTTAGTTTTTAACACTGAAATGAATACATGACAGTGTCAGTCAGCCAATCAATCAATAAATCAATCAGACAGTCCGCAGTGAACACATACATATAGACATACATACATTTAAAGGATTTCAGTTTTCAGGTATTCTCACATACACACACACACACATTGTGATTTCTTATCATCAAAACAGTTGATCTTTTTTTCGTATATATCTGTGTGAGTGGGTGTGTGTATTAAATATGTCTTGATACCACCGCCTATTGAAAAATACTAATTTTATTTGATATATATACACCTATATTATGTCTGTGTGCATATTACAGTGTATTATATACACGTTAATTAAAATACAAATGGTTGACAAAGTTCAATTTCTTTTTTTAATTATTCCCTTGAGTTCCGAGTGCAACAAAGAGGGGGTGGGGGGTGGGGCGGTGGAGTGTCAACAACACATCTCCGCTTTCTTTCTTCTATGCTCTACTGTCCTCTTCAGCTGGGTTTACACTTGATCATAATCTCTCATCTCCTCATCGCACGATCTTCTGTACATCACCACCCTCACGATGGACAACCCACTCTTCGCTTCGCATTCAGATTTCGCTCAAGAGCGATGGCTTGGATGAAGCGCCATGTCATTCGACGGTTTCCCACATATTTGTTGAGTATTCCGCTCTCGCCCATTGGTTTGTTGCCAGTCAGAGTTTCTTGTTGCTAATTCTTTCTAGCCGACCAGCCAACCATTTGATCTTCAGTATGCAGCCAGCCAGCCAGCCAGCCAACGAAGAGGTGGGTGGCAGCTGTTGATGAAAGTCTGCTGTGACCTGTTGGAAATGCTTTCAGTTAAACACAGTGAAAGTTTATGACCCGCATAGAAGAACTGACTGAATTGACATTGGTGTTGAAAATTTCGAAACTTGTTCTTTATGCTGAGGCGGATAACAGATTCCCGAAAAACTGGTTTCAGTTTGATGAAGGTGTATCTCTTGCCTTTCCTATGCTGGTTGGCTGACTTTGACACCTTCATCCGTACCGACTGTCTGCGGTTAAAATAATGCTTCCTAGATAAGTGAAGGAACTAACCTCTGTTAAAACTTTCCCGTTGATAGTGATTGGTGCTGTTGGTTGGTTATTTTCCTCATCTCCGTCTTATCTATGTTCAATTACAATCCTGTCTTTGCTGCTGACAAATTTCAGTTACCTTCTTATAAAACAAACCTGTCGCAAAATAGAAGTTATCTACCACTGTCAATCTCTACGATAAACTGTTTGTTTATGAATGTCATTGATATTGGAGGCTTGAAAATACACTAACGAACAACTACTTCGAAGCATTCTGTTAATGTTCGAACCCTGCTTCGTGTGGTATAATCAAGTGTTAGGCAATAATCGTGACTAATTCCCAGGTGAAGTTATATCTCATTTATCCAAATAATTTATGCGGTCTTTTAAATGGTGGATGGTGACTAGCAGTGGAATCCAGTACAACGCGCATTTGGTCCTATTTGGGACTCGTCGGCTGGATGTACCTGAATTCCACAATGAGTCAGTGATGATGTCCCCACCGCAGAGGCTCAAACTCAGTGCCCATAGTTTCAAACGCCAAAAGTTATCCACTAGACCACTTGGGTGACGAGAGCTGGCCCTACCTCTTGTGCAACGGGTCATATTAATTATTTAATTGCAGTTTAGATTTTCCCGTCGATTGACTGGACCGAAGCCAACATGTCAACCATGAGACAAAGCACTTCGGTTCAATCAATCAACGGGAAAATCTAAAATTCAATTAGGAATTACGCGGTTGTTGTAGAAATGAAACAGTGACGTTAATATTTTACCAATTACAGGCATGACTAACAAGTTCACAATGAAATCACACTTATTCATTTTAATAGATATTGTTGAGGACAAAAAATGTCTTTGTATAGTATCCCTAAATATTTAGTTTCACCAAAAGCAAAGGCACAAGTAAAGAAGAATGGTCTTCAGAGTTGGAATGTTCCTTACTAAAGCATTTATTGTCTTATCACAAAGACGCTTTCATCGAATTTAAGCTTTAAAATAAGTAGTCCCTTTTATATATATATTTGGATAGTGTTATTAGAAGACGGAGATTATCTGAAAAGGTATGTGTGATGTAGTTGCGCTATCCTTTTCGAACAACAATCTGATCCGTCACACATTTACTTGTTAAATTTTAAGGCCTATTAAATCGAACAGTGATAAAAAAAGGATTTAAGAATAATAAGAAGAATTAACTCGACGTTTGGTAATCCAATCAAATAAGGATTACCAAGGCAGGGTAAGAGTAATAACAAACTGTTTTTGAACACACATAGGCTGGGTGTGCTTAAGTTTATGAATACCTATAACCTCAGCGTATTTCAACAAGCGCCCTTGACCATTTTTATAGATAACCTTAAAGGCCATGTTAACATCAGTCTTATTCTTCATTTCGACTAGATGGTGATAGTCTGCTACCTTTGTTTAATGACTTTTCACAATTCATTTGTCTTTCTAACCATTTCGGGGATATCCTCTCCCACACCCTCACTTGTGAGGCATAATTACTCCTTTCTATTTTTGTGTGCCCAGACACACACGAAAATTGGTAAATAGTGTAGGATGTGACATAATCACTTGTGCATTTTAGAGGTTTGTAGTGGAGTATATTTATTATTTTCAATAATTGGTTTGTAAGGATTGGACTTGTTTTTAAAAGTTGATCATGGATTGATATCAGTCAAAGAACCATTGAAAGCCACCAGGGAGTACTGGACAGCTGTATCCTCCATCTTAGTTTAGGAATCATCGGCAGTTCCCACCCACCACAGAAGGGTTAGAACCCGCGACCTTCCGGTTACGAGGTAAGCTCGTAGACCATTCAGCCACTGGGAGCCAATTCAACGACCAGTCAACCCATGAATTTTAACTTCCATCAATCCATGATTTACGGCGACCACCAACCAATATCATGTGTATAAACATATATATATCGACTTGACAAGTAAATGTGTGACGGATCAGATTGTTCGAAATGTATAGCGCAAATACATCACATACCTTTTCAGATAATCTCCATTTTCTAATAGCACTATCCGAATTTATGCTTCTGGAGCCTTTGAGCGACGTTTGAAACAACTGTCTGTTTGGACCTAATATCCCTTCTAGACAAGAACACCTTCTTAGTTTATTACAGCTGTAATAATAATTATAAGTCACTTAACTACACATCCATATATGTAGATATAACTGCACTATACCATTATCATCGCGATAAATGAAAATGATAACACTTAGGCTCAGAAATCTCTGAAGTAGGATCACTGACACCTTCGACACTAGTCTCAGTGTGAGCTGTGAGTAGTTTCATAGAACAATTCTGTTACGTATTCCTTTGTTTTGACCAACACATACATTTATCATCCTGCCCTAGCATTTATGCAGCTCAATCAATTATAAGGTAGTGGAGAAGCAGTAGCTGATTGTGAATGAGTAACATTGTTCCATTCAACATACACTTATCTCAACTAACTCGGTCACTTCTGTATACTAAAAATGAATCAATGCTGACTCGTTCAGCAGGAGCATGAAGAAAGGGACTAGTGCAATGTGTCTAGTCCTTTGTTTGATGCATACTGAATTCTATCAGTCAAGTGTGCAATGTGGCCAGCATGCCACTAGATGGTTCGGCATTATCACGGTACACTTTGAATTGTTGATATTAGATGGTTGGAGGCAATCGGCAGGAAGCCATTCTTCGACCTAGGTTTCGCGCTTGTTGGCACTCAGCAGCCAAGAAGAAGGTCGTGTCCCTTCTGAGTTTAGAACCAGCGTCACCCGATATGCTCTGCAGTCAGAGACGTTAGCAGCCACTGAGCTATTCAGGTACGCGATTCACCTCCTTTAGAATTGTCTGTCTGTCTATTTTCGACGTAGAACTTTGCAAATATGTGCGGCAGTTCAAGTCGCCACACTCCCTCGTTGTAGCACACAAAGCAAGAGAAAGTAGAAAAAATGCATAACAGAGGTGTGAAACAAAGGCATAGTAATAACGAAGAACCATATAGTTTAATTCGAAATAATACGTCACAAGGAGTAGATGCATCTGCGCCACTGAGAACGATTTTGAGCCAGATCACCAATTGTTTCTAACCATTGGTTTTTACGGTCCCGAGGACCCAAACCAGGAAGTCTACATCTCCCATCGTAAACTGGCATATGCGAAAATAGCCCTTAGTATCGTACTGAGATTTCTTCAGAGATCAACCCGTTGGCACTGGCTGATGGTACTTCCCAAATAAGTGAAGCGGTCAACGTGCTCTATCAATTCACTCCCTATTTCTAAACTATGAGTCAGTGTAGTCCAGTCCTGTAACATCATCTTACATTTGGCGGGAGCGTATCGCATTCGAAGAGTGCTGTTCCTCAAGGTGTCCAGAAGACTCTGTATTTTGTCAGAGTCTTCGCCTAGGAGGACTATATCGTCTGCATATTCCAAGTCAACGAGATTATACCCTGGTAACAAGTCAATCCCTGAGTCGCTGAAGTCACTTAGGGTTAAGTCCATTAATACATCTATGATGAAATTGAATAGAAAAGGGGATAATGGGCATCCTTGACGGACACCACTAGTCGTCACCAGTTCAGATGACAGCTCGCCGTAAGCCCTCACCTGCCTGTATGAGTACGAATAGAGTGCCTTAATCAGTGCCATGTATTTTCTTGGAATTCCCTTTACAGCCAAGCATCTCCAGAGAACTTCTCGGTCGACAGAATCGAATGCTGCCTTTAGGTCAAGAAATACAATGACTGTTGGACGCCGGTAGGAATTCCTATGTTCCAGAATCTGTCGGAGGGTGAAGATATGATCAATACACCCTCTTCCTGGTCTAAACCCTGCCTGGCTCTATCGTGTTTGTGCCTCCCGAGCGCCACTCAATCTACGCATGATTACTGAGCCTAAAACTTTAGATACTATATTAGTCAAGCTAATCCCTCTGTGACTATCACAGGAAGACTTGTCTCCCTTCTTGTATATCGGGATAATCAGTGGCTTACACCAACCCGATAGGACTTCTTCTGATTCCCAGACGCTGCCTAGTACTTCAGTTAACGCAGACAGTAAACTGTCTCCACCGTACTCAAATACCTCTGGAGTCATTCCATCAGGTCCCGCTACTTTGCCTAGTTTCAGATTGGTGACAGCTTTAGTAACCTCAGTTAGGGATGGAGTATTTGTGTCTATATCCCATTCAGGGAGGTGTTGGATGTTCGGCAGGTTGAGCGTGGCTGTGCGCCAATTAAACTGCTTCTCATAATGCTCTTTCCAGCGCTCCAGTCGTCTATCCTGGGAGCTAATTATGGTGCCATTTTTCTCCGAGATTGTTTCACTTATCATTCGCCTTTTAGTACCTGTTTCCCTGATAAGCCTAAATAGTTGTCCGGTGTTACCAATCGCCGATGCCTTTTCCATCTCTTCCGGTTTGGTCACCCACCACTGTTCACAGTCGTTAGGCAGACTTCTTGTTAGTTTTCTTTTGAGTAGCTTTCGCTTCTCATCATAATCGGAGCTCACCGGAATCAGTCTTCTTGCGTCAATCAGTTCGGCTGAGGCGGTAGAGATTCAATGGCTTTAGGATTGTATTCGATAATTTGATTGGAGACTAGTCAGTAACCAGTGTAGTGTATGTCTAGTCCTTTCTTTGGAGCAGACTGAATTCTATCAGTACTTACCCCAACTTTAATATAGCCATGTTATCAAACATTATTCTGCGTAGATGCAATCATCCTGTAATCCCCTACTGTGCATTTCTATCCTGATGTTGGAGGCAAAAATATACTGTACAAATGTAAGTTGCCACTCATAGCTGTACTAAACTGAAGCCTATGGTTTTTTGTGCATACCCAGTGATGTTTGCCAAGTTTTAACTTTTTCCATCCTTATTCATCTTTAGAATGAACATCCTTATAGAAGTCTATCTCTCTGGGGATAGAAATTATTACTAGAAATACCTTTAGTTGTATTCGAGTTCACATAAGACGCAGTCATTTTGTTACACTAAAACGCAAAATAAATACAGTCAGCTAAAACAACTTAGATAAACACTCTAGGATGAGCTCCTCGCCTGAAAAAAAATGTATATTATTACTTTAGGACAATGTGTGTGCATCAGTATTCCGATTTACTACACTGAGTGTAGGCACTGAGAATGTCGATCATTTCAGTCCCATAGGCTAACGATGTATGATACCTCAGAAGTGACACAAAAACACACCCTTCTAGATTTTACAAAACCGCAACAAATTACGTAAGATTATCAGTTAAGTGAATTTCTCTAGCATTTTCGATGAAAACAATTATGTCCTTGTAAATATAATAATTATTATTATTTACTTTAATTCCTAGAGGATTATAGAGCGTCAGCCGAAAGTCTCCAATGCGTTTGGTTCTCTGCTAGAGTTTTCACCTGGCTCCAAGTCTGCCCACATGTTTTCACCTCCTCTTCACATGACCTCCTCCAAGTCACCCTTGCACTGACGACCAACTCGCTGCTTCCCTTTCGGGTTCCACTCGAGCGATGGCTTGTCTAGTGATGTCATTTGATAGTTTCCTCAGAGTATGGCTAATCCATCTCCATTCTTCCTGCCAATCGGTCCCTGGTTGGTTCGCTCCCAGAGATGCCTGTTTCTGATCTTTTCAGGCCGGCCATCTGATCTTGAGTAGTATTGAGCGAAGACAACTGTTAATGAAGGTCTGTAGTTTGTTTGAGATGAAATTTATGACGCGCCAAGCCCCTGATCCGTATAGTAGCATTGACTTCGTATTGGAGTTGAAAATCCGGATGTTATTTTTCATTGTGAATGCTGTTGACCTCCACACAGACTTGAAAGTAATGAACGCTTGTCTTGCTATCCCGATCCTCGTTGCTTTGATATCTTCGTTAGTTCTGTCTCACTGTAGTTGAAACGATGCTTCCCAGGTTGGTCGGTAGGTAGGTAGGTGAAGTAGGTTGCTTCTTTCAGATATCTCCCATTTCATCTGGTTGTTGTAGCTGTTGGTGTTCCTGTTGGTCATGAATCTTTATCAATTCTATTATCTCTATGTTCACCTGAAGTCCTATCTTCTCTGGATGCTCCTTCTGCCAACTTGTTGCTTTTCAATTGCATATCTTCCAGTTTGTAGGAAATCAGACATATATCATCGGCGAAGTCCAAATTAGATGATATTTGGAAAAGTCGATTTATATATATATATATATATATATATATATATATATATGGAATTTATGGAGAGGGCAGTATCGGGTCCCACTGGCTTAATGGTCTACAAGCTCAGCTTCTAACAGGAAAGTCCTGCGTTCGAACCCATGCGGTGAGTCTGTCTCTGTCTGGATTCAACATAGAACTTGGCACCGAAGTGCAGCAGTTCGAGTTGCCACGTTCCAATTGGCACACAAGGTAGACAAGAAGATGAGTGAAGAGAATCAATAGAGTTTGACAAGTACAAGAGTGAAACAGAATGGGTAATGGTAGAAAGAAATATGAAAGATTACAGAGACTGAATACATCTGCGCCATTGACAACGATTTTGAGCCATGTCAGCTACTGTCTCCAGCCATTGATTCCTAGGGTCCCGAGGGCCCCAACCCGGGAGTCTGCATCTCCCTACCTGACTCAGTTTAACTGTCAAGGATTTCATGGATTGATGCCATGTTTTTGTTTGGCCACCACTGGCTCTTTTCCAACCTGAACCTATATCAGCTAGCAAAGCCCGTCGGGGAAGGCGGTGGTTAGGCATGCGCAGCACGTGACCTAACCATCTTAGTCTATGTAACTTTATAGCCTCGTCGATTGATTTTCCCTCTTTGCCCAACACTCTACGCCTAACGTCAACATTACTTATCTTGTGAAACCACCTAACGTGAGACAGAGATCGCAGACATCTATGATCGAAAGCAGTCAACCTTTTCATGTCTTCAACGCGTATTGGCCATGTTTCAGAGCCATAGAGAAGGACGGAGCGAACTGATGAGCAGTACACACGTACCTTGGTTGATAACCGGATATCACGCCTACGCCAGAGATGGTGTAAGTCAGCGAAAGCAGCTCGAGCTTTTCGGATCCGTGCTGAGATTTCATCGCCAATCAGTCCGTTGGTGCTAATACAACTTCCCAAGTAGGTGAAGTGGTCAACATGATCTATCACTTCACTCCCTATCACTAAGTTAGGGATTGACGGGGTCCAGTCCTGTAGCAGCATCTTACATTTTGCAGGGGCGAATCGCATGCCAAACATACGAAGATTGCTGCTCAAGGTGTTCAGAAGACTCTGCATTTTGTCAGCATCCTCCCCTAACAGGACTATGTCATCTGCATATTCTAAGTCCATTAGATTATTCCCTGATAACAAGTCGATTCCTAAGTCACTACGTTCAGTTAAGGATACTTCCATCAGCATATCTATGATGAAGTTAAACAGAAATGGGGAAAGTGGACATCCCTGTCGGACACCACTGGTTGTTACCAATTCAGAGTGAGTGCGTACTGATGACGAGTCCCAAACTAGGCTGACGAAACAACTGTCCAGTACTCCCGGCTAACTTTCCAATGGTTCTCTAACCGAAATCATCTCATGATGAAATCCTGTAACCTATCAAATCAAATCAAGCCAAATCCCTGAAACGCAACACATGAATGATAAAAAAATAGGTTTAAAAGAATCCGATTATACATCAAGTATATTTTTTATCCAAAAAAGGTAATCAGAAAATATCAAAAACGAAAACAGTTCCCCGGATGAAAGAAATTACACCCAAAAATAACTTTGTACAGATCTCTACATGATTCCCCTTTGGTATACGAAGAATAATCCATTAATATAGAAAAATGTCCAATTGTATTCTCCTTTTTCTGTACAGCTAATATACATATATATACACATATATGAAAATCACAGATTCAAATCTATAGTCAATTTCCAAAATTCTATAGTATTATCATAAAAGGAACATGAAACAACTATTGGACTCAATAAATTATTATCATCATCACCAAGGCTAGAGCAACCATCAAATGACCAATCAATACCGTAAGCCAATTGTTGATCAGTCAAACGAAATGTATACACAGGATTCTTGTCTTCAGTGTTGCAGGATGATTGAGACCAGTGTGTAACAGCAAATCCTGCATGCATTGCAGCAACTGCAATACAGTTATGCGGACCCCATTTATGTCGCCAGACACCACCACCAAAATGAAATGTGTATATTGGTTTAGAGAAGTCTTTACCACTAGTCAACATACGTAAATCCCATATACATAAAGTTTCATCATAGCTTTAAAAGGAAAAGAGAAAGACACGAGATTAGTTCAAATGAAATCAGTTAATTAATTTCAAACTGATATAGAATCGACAAGCATAACGTCAATAGCGATGATGATGATGATCTGTTTTATCCCAAACTTGAGTCGTGAGGAATGAACACTTCCCGATTCCTGATAGTTAATAAAAATAAAATAAACTCTCGATGACACAAACTGAGTCCTGGGTCACTAACTGGTTGCATTCCTATTTCTCAAACAGAATGCAGTACACTGTATACAAAGGTAAGTCCTCCTTTGCTGTGCTCACTGAAGCTGGTGTCCCCCAAGGTGCTGTTCTCTCCCCATATCTCTATTCTTTCTTTCTGCATGACTTACATGACATGACCTTAAATCCCTCTAAATGTCAAACAGTCAATTTCACCTGTAGGCATAAATCTGACCTAAACAAACTGGTTAGCACTCAAGAGATGTGCAACATAGATGGCACCGAAACAGAAACGAAGTCAGAAATTAAATGCCTAGGCGTCATTTTATCTGCTGATTTTTCCTGGTCGTCTCATATCTCGATGATTTCTAAGAAAATATTCCATCTTACCTTCTACATCAAGAAGTTAAGACATTCTGGTATAACTCAACCCTTACTCTTACGATTCGTTATCTTTTACACCCTGCCTATTATTCTCTATTATTCCCCCTCAGTTTTTCCAGGGCTACTGAAGAAGGACTATATCTTACTACGTAGGGTGTTTAAGGTTGTGAGCAGGGTAAGCAATGTGCCACACAACCAGCTTGTTAATATTCTGGTCAACAGGCACTTGGATTCATTTGTAAAATGGGCTGAATCCATTTTATCTAACTCACACCATCACCCTCTTCATTCACAACTCTCCCCTTGTATCTCTTCAGGAACTATATGCTTGCACTAGTAAGTAAAAAAACCCAACCATGCCCTACTTAGTTCGTGTTCTGTGCTATAAAGAAAGCATTAGGCGTGATACCCATAACTTATTAAATCGTCAGTAGAACAATTGGATCTCATCTATTCAACTCATATCATTTATAAGTACAACGTTTCCCTTCTTTCTTTTCCTTTTCTCTCTCTTTTTTTCTGTTATGTGCTGCTTTGTTTCTTTCTTCCTTACAAACTCTACTTAAAGCATTCTTCTTCATTCTTCAACACTCTGTATATCTCGAACTTTTTTGTTACCACTTAGACCAGTAAATATGCTAGTATCTACTTTTCTAACACCTTCAAACATTCTGTTCACTTTTGGCTTTGCTACCGATATGTCAATATGTTGTTGTCAAAAAGTAACTGAGATTACCCATAATCTATGTAGAATTTTATTTATTGTTAATGTACAAACTGGACGCAATACTGTAGTGAAATGCTGTGAATTCCATTCTGTATCACAAGTACTGTTTTGGAATAAAGCAAATTATTACTATTAGTTTACGCGTCGGAAATGTTTACCAATTTCTAACTCTATATATGATATGTAACTTCAACAGAGGGAAAGTATGTTGGCAGAAAATATACTGGGGGTTGTTGGCACAAAGTTTCCATCTACCTGGGCGTTCATTTCATATTTGATCACCATCCCGTTACGGAAAAGAACAATACCTTTTACTCGACGAAAGTTATCTCGCGTCGTTCGACAAACAGTGTTACTTCGTAAATGATTGCAGGACTATTTCAGAAAGTCTTCATTTGGTACACTGCCATCGAAAGAATAAGTGGTGACCAAGTGTGAAATGTAAGTCAAAGTTATGGCTATTATTCGGGTCTTGTACGTCAGGTGATAGACTGCCAGCACGGTGATTACGGAGCCATGAGTTTGAATTATACTGCGACCCAGAGGTTCATTTCACCTTCAATAACCATCCCCTTGACTTCATAATGGAGTAGGAAGCTTACTTAGAGACATAAATGTTACTTTCTACCCATCCTTAGAAGGAAGAAACGTTTTGTGTGCGGTAAGTGGAAATATGACATTATTATTCCCTCGCGTTCGAACTGGAACATAGGACTTCACAAACACATCTCCACCATGTTCTGTTTTCTGCCGTCCTCTTCAGCTGGGTCCAACATGATCTCTTCCATATCACTATCGCACCGACGACCCACTCGTCACTTTAAATTCGGATTTCACTCGAGGCATTGCCTGGCGTGCAATGTCATTTGACGGCCTCCTCAGTGGCGTATGCCCGATCCATCTCCACTTTCTCCCACATATTTGATGAGCGATCGGCTCTTGGTTGATTTATTCCCATAGTTTCTTGTTGCTTCTTCTTTCTGGCCATTTGACCTTCAGTATGGAGCCGGCGAAGGGGGCAGCTGCTGATGAAGGTCTGCAGTAGCCTGTTGGAAATTCTTTAGAAGTGACACGCAGGGCAAGTTTCTGACCAGTATAGAAAAACTAACTTCACATTGGTGTTGAAAATCCGAATCTTCTTCCTCATGTGGGCTGAGTGCAGAAGATTTTCAAACTTGTTTCAAGTTGATGAAGGCGTATTTCGTCTTCCTGACCCTGACTGAATTTAACATCTCTATCTGTTCTGCGCGCCTTTAGTTGGAACGATACTTCCCAGATAAATGAAGGAGGCAACCTCTCGTTGTAAGTTGAATCAACAGCCTTAAAATAACCATATTAGTTAGTTGAATGATGACAATTGAAAGCAAAGCCTATAACAGTAGTCCTTTGACTTTATCATGATGTAGTTCTACTTTGTAAACATGCAGAAATCATTTTTCTTTCTTTAGTCGATGACGAAGCTTTGACTTAAAAATAATAGATGTATTCTAGACAATATTTTAATATTTTATACGAGGATTCCCTTTTATAAATTTGAACAGAGAAAGAACAAACACTGATGCAGAATAACATGGGTCCATTGCTATTTCTGTGGTTCTTATCGGCTGCATACATCCTGTCTGTTTCTTTTCGACATAGAACTTTGCACAAATGTGCGGAAGTTCAAGTCGCCACACTCCGTGTAGCACGCGAAGCAAGAGAAGAAAGTACAAGAAAAGCATAATCGAAACAGTGAGCAGAGGTGTGAGACAAAGCAAGAGTAATAACGAAGAACAAAACAGTTTCATTGGTGGAGATCATAAGTCACAAGGAGTGGATGCATCTGCGCCACTGAGAACGATTTTGAGCCATGTCACCAATTGTTTCCAACCATTTGTTTTTACCGTCCCGAGGACCCCAGCCAATCAGGAAGTCTACACCTTCCTACGTGGCTTAGACCGACTGTTGTGGATTTCATTGACTGGTGCCATGTTTTTGTTTGACCGCCGCTAGCTTTTTTCCAGCCTGACCCTATATCCGCTAACATTCCTCGTCGAGGGAGGCGATTACTTGGCATACGTAACACATGTCCTAACCATCTCAGTCTTTGTAACTTCACGACTTAATCGATTGATTTCCCCTGTTTACCTAGAACTCGACGCCTAACTTCAATGTTCCTCACCTTATTATGCCACTTTACATCTTGTAATCTTTAATAAATAAAGGTCAGAGTAAAATTTAACATGCTTTTGTCATCAACAAGCACACGGACGAACGAACGTGAAAACCCTTTTCTCTAGAGCGAAAAGAATATGTTCACCAGATAAATTAGGCTGTGAACTAATGTCGCTTAAGAATTGCTTGAAATAAAATAATTATTCACAAAGTCTCATTAACAGATAGATATGGTAAGGATGAACACAGGAAACCTGATCAACCTGCGGTCAGCAAAAAGCCAGTTTTCATAGAATTTGGCTTCAGATGTGATGATATAATGGGAATAATAAATATAAGATTAAGCGCAGCCATGTCCAAGACATATCCTGCAGCAAAACTAGTCTCTCTGCTCCGAACATCATCCTCGTTGATGCAGTCAAAGATCGACAAAAAAAACCCTCATATGTTAACTCCAACTGTACTTACCAATTCACACGTATCTTTGGGAGCAGTTACATTGAAGAACAGAAAGAAGGGCCTACTTCAGATTCTTCAAACATGCACCAAGAAGCTTACGGTTAGAAGTAGCCAAGTAGTTTAGGCTCTTCAATTATCAAATACCCGATAGACACTGGACACCGAGTAGACGCACTGGCATTCTTTAAAATAATTCACAGAAAAAACAGCTAAATTCTTCTTCAATTTGCTGAGACTATCGCAATAAAACCGCTGAAACCTGACCTATGTGTCTAAAAGGAACCTGTCGTTGAACTCCAATTACTCTGGTGACCCATCCCCTAATAACTCTTCGTCTTCTAACTTCATTAACTTTTCTTTTCAACGTCACTACCCCGTCACTTCGTTTCTTCTGTTTGACTTCCATAAGAGATCATTTTTCTTGACCTTATTAGTTCTACTCACCATCATCATTACATCATCACCTTTTCATCTAACCTCTTGCACACCAAATCTCGGCCTCTTCTTATCTAGCTATGTAATTCTTACTATTTCTTACCACCCTAACAATAAACTTGTCAATTAATTTTGTAGAAACTTCTCTCTAACAAGATATATATATATATGTATATACTTACATTTTAGCTACCTTGTCATCCTGATGTCATACCTCATCATGACACTCTTGTAATATGCTTGCTGATGACAGAGGCATGTTATATTTTACTCTTACCTTAATTTATTAAAAACTGAAGGTTGTATGCAACTGATGACAAGCAACGAAATAGAAATTGATCCATGTTATTCTGAACCAGTGCTTGTTAACCCTTTGCTCATTTTAATACATAGTACAGAATTTCTAGAGTACTTAAATTGCAAAAAATATCTACTGGTGTAACGGCAGAAAACAAGGGACTTGGTAACGAAAGTTTGATTTGAAATTTGATATATCTATGCAGGGAAATTACATACACTCTATATGAGAATCATCCCTCGCACAGATCTTCTGCGTGGTGATACTTCTGCCCTCCCTTCGTATTGCACTCATTTGTCTTCTTTTCCCGTCTCCCATGTTTGACAGCAACACTGGTTCATCTGCTACC